GTTCTTTCAGGATTGCAAATATGCTGACAATAACTGACAAAAAGGATTCAGATAAAGCATCATACATTTGCCCTCAACATAAAATGACCACATAAGTAACTAATTTTTTAATCTCAATTTTGCAGTTCATTGCTAATCTTGTCAACCATATCATAATTTATTAAATACGAAAGTTATTCTGTTTAGAAAACATCACTATGATGCCGTTGTAACTCAGAACGAAACGAAACAGACTGATACTAATGTATTGTGGAAATCATTTTTATCTAAAGGGAATGTTAGTTTTTAATTTATGTGACTGGAATTTTTTTAACAGGTGTGTTTGCGGGAATATACTGTCAAATATTACTAATTAGTGAGTCATTTTGTTTCATGAAATTTATTTCACAAGTGGTAATAGTTCATTTCTAGATCCAAAGGGTGTATTAGATATTAGTGACAACAATTAATCTATCTCTTTAGTTTTGGAAAGTGAGAAAGTCTTTCGTAATATCATTTGAAATCAATCGAGAATTCATCTTCACTCATAGTATAGTAATATATATCACTTTACTGCCTTAAAACCTTTTGATTGTACGTGATCAATAGTAAGAATAGAGACTTAAGATTTAATTAATGGCTGAGTTTTAAAACTGTTGGTTAAAATATACGCTGTCAGCAAAATCATTTCCTTGAAATCTACTCAACTTAGTCACATAGTAAGTTACTTGATATTAGGAGCTATATGTATCTGAATGTTACAGTAAACTGAATTGTGCCTGATGAATTCCAAGGTAGTTTGGCTGTTATAAACGTAAGGAACGGTGGAGTTGTAGAGTATTATTAGCATAACCACATTATCAGTTTTTTTTAAATATTTTTTCCGTAATATACAACGATAATTATGAACATTTTTCAAAACAGCATAGAAAACATATTTTTAAGTTCCTAATCAATACACGGTTTTTTAGTACCTAAACCGCTAAATTGATGACTAAATTAATGTTATTTCTGAAGAAAAGAAGATATACTCTGATCATCCTTGAGTACTTGTCTTTTATTCGAAATTCACAAATTGTTCTCAGTTTATTTACTTTCAATATAATTACAGTACCTATATATAAACCCAATATAGTAGGCGAAATGTTGGATCTCTGAGTAAAATTACTTATCAGAACTTAGACCAATTTCAAGTACATCATAATAAGCTTGTGTCTAACGAATCAGTTGTTTATTAACTTAAAGATTATCTTAGTTTTTTCAAATGGTTACCAAAATGTTTATACTTCCATTGAAGATTCCCGTTAGCTATGTCAAAACGTCAGTAAAGGGTTGTGGAAATTGTTGAGCCTAGGTTGATATCATGACTGGCTTCAAGATAAATTTCCTGGAATTCTAGTGAGAAGCAATGACCAGTGGAGTACATCCATCTTTGTTATGAGGCAGTTACTCACTAAGGACAATGGAGGACGGTCGTGCAATATCGTATATTGGTTGGACATTATTATCGTTGGATGCCTGCTCATTGGTCTGGAGTTTAAGTGCTCTCGCTCGAGATCGAAGGTCCTGTGTTCGAGCTCCGAGTGTGAGATCGTGAGTGCGCACTGCCGAAGAGTCTCATGCCAGGACGAGATGGCCGGCCAGTGCCTCTAGGTTCCCAATGGTGGTCTAACATTGGTCCATTCATGATGTCGACCTATGCTGTGTCGAAATGCTTAGCTGTTGAAATACAAATAAAATTCCGCAGTTTTATATCAACCCACGTTAAAAATCAAATTCAATTTTGATAAGAATTCAATAAAGAAGGAATAGAAAAAGAATTATTTACTGTCAGTATTGGGTTATGGGATATGTTGAGTTTTTTTTGAGAAACCATAGTCAGTCGTATGTGATGCAACTATCCACTAAAAACAATGGTAGATAGACGGGCAATTTCGTGGATTGGTTGAAGTTAGATAATAACACCGTTGATTTTTGGCTCATTATTCTAAACGTTGGGTATTGGAGAGCGAGACTATCGGTTCTGAACTCGAGTCTCGCGTTCGGGACCATGGATGAGCGCTGCTGAGGAATTCAATTCTAGGATGAAAGGGCCGTCCAGTGCTTCCACATTTGCAGTGGTGGTCCAACATTGATCTGTTCATGAATCGATAAAATTATTTATTATTGTTCACTAGCTTTTGGTTATGGATGACATATACGTATACATATTTATGTACATACATCCTAGTCATTTCGCTGATGATAATCATCACTATAACACTATGTATTTTCATGAGTTATATTGCATCCGCGGATAACTGCTTTGTATGAGTGAGCACTAACAGTTATGGTTGCAGATGGATATTCAAAACAACTGGGTAACAAATGTTTACACTTTCCTTCTACTGAATTAGTTTTAACAAAAAAATGTTTTACGTTTAGAATATTAAAGATTCCCATTGTGAAAATTAGAACAACACATATAAGCGAACAATTGTTTTCAATTAGATCGTCATCAGGCTTTACTCTAATATACATGAATATTTATACGAAAATTTTAAACCAATCAAGGCAATATGGGTCAATCATCACAATGAAATAGAATTAGTCTCTACACATAATAGGTAAAAGTACAAGTTGATAGTAGTAGGAAGACAGGTGAACTGATAATAGTGAGAATAATAAAAAATACAATAACAAAACTCTTATCAATAGTTAATCGTTGGAAATAGGTCAAACAAACATGGGTAAATAGACTAGGAATAGTAATCACAAAACATTTAAATCATTACGTAATAAGATGTGTGTAAATAATTAGATAGTGAAGAATACAAAGAGGCGGAAAATTACAAACAAATAATGGATGTGGAAATAAGGTTAATGATAACACGAATAGAATAAAATAAATAATGATAATAATAAAATTTAAAATAAAAATAATAATAATGAAAATGAATAAAATAAAAAATAATAAAAAAAATTGTTAGTTAAGTTATAACTGGCCATGGAAGGGATAGAGGAGTCACGTATTTCTTCTGTACACATAAATTGGGGTTATATGTACGAATTCCAATGGCTTCAGCTATATGTAGGAGACGGGAACGGACTCCGTCGGGAAATGATGGAGGTATACGATAGATAACTCGAAATGATTTCGATTTATCTACAGCATGACCGCTATCAATAAGATGTGCCAATATAGAACTGCGAATAGTTTTTCTCTGGCCCTTTATGTACCAAGTTGGTAGATGTTCACTCATTCGTTGGTTAAGTTGCCTGGTAGTACGCCCTATATAGCTATCTCCACAGGAGCAGCTGAATTTGTAAATGCACATGGAAGAGGCCAACTCAGGTAACTTATCCTTCGTTTGAGTAGACATCGCTGGTCGACAAGAGAAGGTCAACGCAAGATTGGCTGCGTAGAATGTCCTGGTGATTACTTTGGTTAACCTATATTTCAGAGTGTCACTAGCCACATCCCCGTTGAATTGCACTTTCATGTATAAAGGTTTCTTACGAACAGTCGAAATCTCCGACTTCTTTATTATATCCTGCATGTACTTCTTAATGAACGCACTGGGGTAGCCGATCTCGGTCAGTGAGTTGTTGATAAATTCAAGTTCCTGACTTAGAGTGTCTACTGTACAGATATTTTTTTGCTCTGCTCGTGAGACATCTGACCAAGTTTCTCTTGTAACGGATGGGTGTGAAACTGCAGAAGTGAGTATATTGGCATGAAGAGGGGTTTGTTCTATACACGCTTCTACTTAATGTGCCGTCACTTCGTCTGCTTAGTGTGATGTCAAGGAAGCTCAGCTTCTTATCATGCTCGCTTTCACCAGTGAAAGTGATCGCTGGGTGAACACTGTTGAATTGGTCTAGGAGTTCCTATTTACTAGTGTTTTGATCTACGATAATGAATGTGTCGTCAATGTATCGGCAATATAAATCCAGTTTCTTAATAGTCTCATTGAGAGGTCCGCTTTCTAGCTTTGTTAGGAAGAGGTCAGCTAAAATCGGGCCTAGAGGCGAGCCCATGGCTATCCCGTCTATTTGTCTATAGTAAGTATTGTTGAAGACAAAATGGACATTCAGAGTGCATCTTAGGAGCAGTTCTCTTAGGCTATCGTTAGGCAAGCCAATGTTGATTTGTTTTTTTTTATATTTGCTTGCATATAAAATCAATAGTCTCTAAAAGTGGTACGTTGGTGAACAAAGATTCTACATCCAATGAGATCATATTTTTCATACTGACATTAATATTTTCTACTTTGGAGGTGAAGTTGAAGACATCTTTTACACTATTTCTAACAACTGATTTGTGTAAAGGTTCTAAGATTCGTACTAGCCACCTTGCGATTTTGTGGTAAGGAGAATTGTACATATCTAGAACTGGGCGTAGAGGAAGACCCGATTTATGTACTTTAGGCAGACCATACAATCGTGGTGTAAATGATCCAGTCGGCTTAATTGAATCGTAAATCTCAGTCGTAATTATTCCCTTTTTCGTTAGATCTTTAAGGAAATTGGCCAATTTTCTTTCTACTTTACGTTTTCTACTTTTACGTTTACAAAAGAACATTTTAAGCCACTGATTTAAACCGTTTTCAGATTATTACTTACATTTAATACACTGAACAATGAGATGTTTCGAGAAATAAAATAATCACTGAGAACACCAAGAATGATAGCCTTAAAAATTATGGATTAAAAGTTAAAAATAAGGATTTCTTAAGGTACTATAATTACGCTACTAATGAGAGATACAAATTACCAAATAATCGTAGAAAAATATTTATATATATTTTAGCTACTAATACTTTGTTAGTAATATGAGCGAAGTTAATTAACTCGTTAATGGTTAGCTGTGAGACTATAATTTGTCATTAAATAATTTTCTAACCAAATATCGTGGTTGTATCTTAAAACTAAACACGGTGTGTACTGACGTTTTAAGATGCACTTAGCTATATATATATATATATATATATATATATATATATATATATATATATATTGGAAAATACATACATCATAATGAGGCTTTAAACCTAGTTGAAATAAAACGATGTGTTACATGAAATACATGCAGCTAAATATTGAATTTGACTGGATTCAAAAGCTACACTGCAATTTTAAAATGACGTTTGGGATAATCTCCTTTTTTTCTTCATGTGAAAATGAACCAGAATCTAATTTGTGTTTAGGAACATCATAAACTACTTATTTACGGTCATCAGCATTCATTCACCCATGACCTTTAACTTACATGTACAGACCATTCATATTCCCAAATTATTCATCTAGACAATTTTGGATATTCATTTGCATAGCGTAGAAATATATATATATTAGAACAAAAACACATTTTGTCACGGATTAGAGATCTACCGAATATCGGAAATCACTGTTTCCTCAGAGAAGATATTGAACAACTACCTCTTTGTATTATAAATTAACTAAAATTCGATGCACATATCATGTAATTCAAACTAAATGGCTTAATGGTATCTTGGTCTTCGAGAGAATTAAAAGTACTGAATCTTATATATTGTTCTATTGACTTCTGAAAAGTGTGGAATTAAGAAAGTGTCAGTTATCCCATACTACTTCTATGTTAACACTTAATAAAAAGATGTCTACTGTTAATGAACATTAATGCTAACTTATGTTTACCATGTTTAGCAAAATTTTATTATCACCATTATTATCATTTTAAAAAATATGTATATACTAGCGATCGTGCAGCTCTGCAAACGAATTCACCGAAAACAGATCTCTTTCCTGAACCAATCTTCCTTATTTTATAACTTATATTTCGGCTGATTCCATCGGATGCATACATATACATTACCAATACCTGAATATTTATTGAACACCAATGAAAATAATATCATCTTTATATTATCAGTAATATCATTACCACATGACTGAATAAATGTATTGATCACGTTTATTAACGTAAATAGAAAACTTCATTTTAGTCATTACAGTTAAACATGTCATATCAGGCAAATTGAACAGTGGATCAAATAACATAATTAATCAACAGTAAAAACATTTACAGAGCGCATAATATATCTAATTATCTATTCATAATATGGTGTGTGCTACTGATGTCGACAGATATAAGTAGTACGTATCATCAATCGAAAAAGGAATGCCCCATGGTAGAAGGTTAAAAAGATCGAAGAAGGGAGAACTAGAACGGAGAATGATTGGTGTGGAAACGAAGGAACAATGATGTCTGAGGCGATTGATTGACATTTTGCAAATGAGGTGTTAACTGTATGGTTCACAGATTTTACTAAGAAGTTCTGTAATTTTGTGTTCAAATACATTTGGTTGTCCCCGCTGGTGTTCTCGCTCACTACAATAAGACAAATGTGTTAGATTTCAAATTAAAAACAGAAATATAAATTGAATCAATGTCATCATTAGAAATTGTATGAGTCCAAAGAACGAGAAGTCATAATATCGTCTTAAGACAACTATATAAAATTCGACTAAATAATTTACTCAATTTACCAAAATCTACTAATCGTACAGCCACATATTTCTGTTCATTCTATAAAACAATACAGCCAGTGCTTTGTGGATTTTTATGCATTTTCAGCTTATACACTTTATACATATTTCGATCTACTAGTCACTTAAAGTTAGACTATCATGGAAAACGTGAAAGCACTGAATAGCCTTTTCGTCCTATTGTGGGACTCAGTAGTGCGCATCCCTGGTCCCGCCTCGCGAGATTTGAACCCAGGACCTATCGATGTTTTTTTCCTTGTTGAGAAGATTTATCACGCACCTAACGTCATTAATGAGCTTCTGTCTGATAACCCCATTAGCAAAGAGAGATGACATGGTCAGGTAAAATCCCAGAGTAGTAGAGATAGTAAAAGTATGGGCGATAATAGTTGTATCCGTAAAAGATTAAATGAAAGGTTGCATCCGGAATTGTTTATGGACTTTTATATATATTCTTTGAAGGTAACTAGATTGTATACATTTACATTTTTTTTTACCATATGTCTTCATTTGACCTATTAGGTAAAATTATATGATTTATTGTTTTAAGTTTATTCACGACCTATTAGTTATCGTCTCTCATATTCACAGCCACTTTTGGCTTGATCTGGTATAACTGTCATTTTTCGTTTCGAGGTGTTATGAGATCTAGTCTGCCTGTATATAAACTATGTGGATTATCCATATAGTAGAGGAGAATATTGTTCTCTGGTCTCAACGGGTAGGGCTAGGTGAGAAACTACAATATTGAGGACCAATGAGGATTCAGAGTTGACGCAAGACTGATAGTACGGTTGAGATATCAATGTTTTAACACGGGAACTAGGTCGTATAAGTCAGTATTCTAATTGGCAATTTTTTCAGTGGCACAAGTCATCACAATTGACATAGCAAAAACAATAATGCTAGCAGTGAAAATGGCACTCTCTTCGGAAAAATTGCAGTCACCATTACAGCAGCAGATGATAACTTCTCAACAGTAACTCGTGGAAGCAGTTTTGGGGAGACTTTCTATTCAACAATATATATATAGGCAAACTAAACATATGGGATGTACCAGTGAGCGAAATATGCACGATAAAAATTCCAAATAGTAACCATGTAGACCTAAGCCATGTAGTCTACACAACTTATCATGGGATATTCCGATTGTCAGTGATTTTCTCGACTGATGTTATGCTTTGATTCGGAACCCTAGCTTTCTTCCACTCTACTTCTAAACCAGATAACACCGCTCCTCGAGGTACGCGGTGGTTGGGCATACGTAATAAATTTCCCAACCACATTAATCGATGAAGATTTACTACCTCATCAATTGATTTGCCATACTTAGTACCATTTTCTTAACTTGGGGATTACCAACTCCGTGGTCCCAAAACACATGAGCACTGCTTCGAAGAATCCCCGAAAATCGCCCATTCTTGATGACCATGTTCCACACCCATGGAGTAGAACGGACTTCTGCACAACAATCTCTTCCTTTGGTTGGTAGACTGATATCTGATATACCCCGTAAGTAGGTTGGTAAAAGCCAGTCGAGCTTTCTGAACCCGTGCGGAGATTTCATCAAACGCCAGACCTTCAGGACTGATGAGAATCTTAAGATAAGTGAGGCAGTCGGTGAGTTCAACTACTTCATTCATTGTCACTAATTCAGGCACTGACGTAAGTCAACTCTGAAGTAACATTTTAAATTTGGAGGGAGACAAATGCATCAAAAACATGCTTGCTTTGTTGCTTAAGTTAATCAAGAGACTGCATTTTGTCAGCGTCTTCAACAAACAGAACTATATCATCTAAGTCAACAAGTGAATCTTTTGGTAGATGATAAATCTTTGATGAGTCAGACGATGAAAGTGTTATCTCGCATAGCATTTCTATGATCAAGTTAAATAAAAATGGGCAAAGTGAAGAACTCTAACGAACACTTGAAATAACTAATTCCGACCACAGTTTGCCATAAGCTCTTACTCGACTATTAGTGTTCGAGTAGAGGGCATGTACAACGTTAATGTACTTCGTTGGTACGTCTTCCAGTGACTGACTGCCACATAACCTCACGAGTCGAATGGTGCTCTAAAGATAAAGAATAAAACTACTATCGGATATCAAAAGTATGTTTATGTTCCAGAGTCTGCTCTACCTCGCTTTAGATTACTTATAGCCTTTTCAATTTCGCCAAGAGTTAGGGGACTTACATCATTTTGCCATTAAGGTTGCTTAGAGATAGCGGATAACTGAGATACTTTCACTAACAATCGAATTTTAATACCCGTTTCCTTGATCAGACTAATCAGTTGTTTACTGTTACTAATCATCATTGTCTTCACCATTTCTCAATTCTTAACTTACCAATCCCTACGATTATTAAGTAAAGTTTTTATGAGCCCATGTTTAAGCTGCATCCGCTCCTCATGTTAAGAGCCAGATGGGATGAGTTCCCAAGCATCTTTCAGTTCTGTAGATCACGATGAAATCCACTGATTTTACTTAACCGTTTGGTTTAATTTATGAGTAGATGCCATTGATGCTTTCACGGCTTTTCGATACCATGCTAAGTTACCTCGGGGTGAATATTATTTTCATGGACGACTAATTCCTACAGTTGCTTCTGAAATGTATTTTTAACATTTTCGTTATTAATTTGGGGTATAAGGGATTTTCTTGTTGTCCAGTAAGATGCAGACAAATAAATGCTCGAACTGTGGCATGATCCGAGTCTTAACATGTACTCCAGAATGAAAAAGTCTTGTACCGAGCCTCTCCGACGATTGCTGATGAAAATATGATCTTTTCAGACCATTTCTGAGCCGATTGTGGAGTTTTTTCACTAAGCTGCAACACCATAAGGTCCGCCTAAACGCCTTTACGATGTTTTGTCAGAAGACCAGGAATAAAATTTCATGGATCCAAAGCACTAGCATTCGTGGAGTGTGATGAAGATATACGAAAAGGATTAGTGATTGGGATGAAAGAATTATTAAGAAGCGAATGAGTGATTTGGTCGTGAAAAAGATGGTCTCAGGTGCTGATAGAAGTATGAGTGATTGTCACGTCATGAAAGGATATTTCTTCTTCAAAGATCTGACAAAAAGCTGAATTAGTTGTGGTCACGGCGACCTGAGAGCATGACCACAGAACCTAAGGAACAGCAGCTTGAAGCCAGTTACGCATGAAATTTTTTGGACCTTTTTAACGTGCTAGGTCCACACTTCAATAAAACTTACCACCGGAAACCAAAACCCGAGGTAAGGTGAGGTGTAATATTTCTAGGATTAGCCCTGTTCTTCCGCTGCAGATGCTGCTTGTTCGAGGGAAACATCTTACCACTGTCGAACCCCTCAACAGTCAGCAGTACGACGTTGCTCTCGAACCTTTAGTTGCTTATTTTAGTCTCACCATTCTCAAACCAATCTGCCTGGCATGGTAGGACCTGTAGGAGCATGTGTTACAGCCAATATAACTAGGTTGAGTCATCACGATAAGCTAGCCCGACCATCACCTCAAGGTAGCAACTACGGTTGTTGCATTTACAATACGGATGAATTTGGGTTCGCAAGAAGTTAAACTTAGTACTGCAATCTAATTATAGGATACTAGTTAGCACTAATATATTAGTGAAAATATAACATTGAAGTAATCTCAAAACTGGTAATCCTTCGAGATATGAGGACAAAGTTTGATGAAATTCTTAATCGCAAAGTGACATTTGATATATGTCGCCACTAAAAATTATTTTGATCAGATATTTAGTTGTAAAAACTAGACTACTCTAATGCAGACAATTCTTTTATAAAAATGTAGCTGTCTAAGAAAGTGTGTGAGTACAGTCAAATGGATGATTGGCAAATAATTACGAATCCCTATCCATTACCTACTCAGTTGTATGATGTAAATAAGAATTGAACCTGAATGCACAGAAATCAATTGACGAGACTGTTGATTATTAATAACAATTATATTTGGATCTTCATAGTGCTACAAGTGGCAGATATATTACGAAACTGGAACTATTTTATCTGTTGCCTCGAAATTACAACTAGCGAAATCTCTAAATTGATTATTTCAAAATATATTACTAAAGTATTATAAAGCAATTTCTAGTCCAAACAACTATCGTCTTCAGTCAGTGAATAACAAACACAACTCTATAGATAAAAATACTCCATTTTATTTCAAACAAGCTCGTAAAAAATAAGGTAAATGATAAAAAGAGATCAAAAAATAATATATTATCTAATTCTATGAGTAATAGACTAATTTGTAATCAGTTGACCGGTAAGGAAATTAACGTATAATAATGTTAATTAAACCAGGCTATACATTTCAGTACAGTGAAATCGTATTTATACACGGCCAAATATGTGTATATAAAATTATAAAAAATGAATTATGATGATGCTAACAATCTAAATCTCATAGGATGAAACAGCCAAACAAATAAACAAACACAATAGTTACGCAATTGTCTGAATGTTCAACTGATTAATCAACCATTTAAACTAACCAAGTAGTCCATCGACAAAGGAGATAAAAATATACACATCACTCATTAATTATGCAAACGTATATAAGAGAATGAAATCAACTGATAACGGTTTAATTTTTTTATTATTTTCAGTAGAAAAAAAAGGATAATAAAAATAAGTGAGAGAAAAAAATAGCCCAGTATATGAAACTTATTGGTTTTGATAACACAATTTTATTACTATTCATCATTGTGAATTGTGCAAAAATAAAATGGTTTAGACGAACAAATGAAAACAGGATATATATATATATATATATATATATATATATATATATATATATACTGCTTAAGCATGAGATTTGTGCATACATGATAAATCACAATCCGTATGCACTTCAACATGAGTAATCATTACTGAAGGTGACCGACTATCATTGATTTCATTATTTAGTCCAGATTCAGTGTCACTTTCACTACACTGTTTACCTAATGAGAAAATACAACAAAATAGAAAGGATAAAGAGGATATTTCATGGAAATAATATAAAGTAGCCTTGAAAAGCCTTATGTATTATGAAGCTAGAAATCATCAAAATGACTGTGTGATAACTTTTGGTAGCTAAGCTGAATTAAGGATTAGAGCAAAATTTATGATTCAAACTAATGAACTATCATTGTTAAAAAAGAATATGGATGTTATTCGTGAAGAACAATGTTTGTATGAAAATAGATTTGTTGCATATACCATGAAGACAGTAACTAATGAGACAACATAGCGCTAAGTAGGTTATTAAGTTTATTAGTGGATCAAATACAGTTTATATTATGAAGTGATATTGTAGTGTATGTTGCTTATGTCAACATTGCTATGGAGGTCTGCATACCGGCGGACTCGATATTTCAACGGGGAGCGTGGCACAGATTACAGTAAAGGTGGCACGGCGAGCAGAACAACCGCAAAAGCGACTGTTTAAAGGGTGAACGAGTGTGGTGTATGCTACTTATATCTGTCGACATAAGTAGTATGCAACACCAATCGGAAGTGAGAAACCTGGCAGCAGAAGGTTAAGAAGACCGAGTTTAGGAAAACAAAAAGGGAAATAGGAAGGAATTGTGGATTGGAAGAATCATACAGAATGTGAAGGACAACTGATATAAGATTTGCAAAAGAAGCATCCTATGTATGGTTCTCATATTTTAAGACGATGCTTTGTAATTTCGTACCAAATAGTGGATTGGTCTTCCTCAGCCGAGTGTTTATTCATTACAATATTTGCTAGTGAACCAGTGAAAGCAAAGAATCTAACGGTAAGAACTATTATTGTAACTAGTTTAATAGTTCTCAGATTCAATATTGAATAAAATATTATTATTTCATTTATACCACACAATTACCATACTACTACATAATTGGGGATGATCTCATATATCTAAAGGAAACAGCTGTCAGGTACTATATGATTTTTAATTGGTGCTAAATCGACTGCAGGTCCAATCAAAGAAAAGTGATGAAAACATTTCTTCAGTTATAGAACTAAATGAAGTTTAATTAATCCATAGAAAATATGTAGCAGTGAGGAAAATAGTATGTTGATTCCAAAATACTCATAGTGGTCGAATTACAAGGACAAACTAACATTATCTAGAAAGCCAATAAACAGTAAGAAACCGCGAACAGATGTTTCATATCGACAATGACTTATCTGTAGTAAGCAGACACTACTTCCCATGCGATCGAAACCAAGTTTATGAAGAAATGTTATTCAATCGTTTAGTATGTGACATCGAGTGATCAAAATACAATCTTGGTACAAAATTACCTTTTGACGGGACTGTTAACTCCATAGGTTGGGGCCTTCCAAAGAAACATCGAGAAATCCAACTCGACGTAGATACACACTCAAAATAAAAGTAGTTTTATGAAAAAGATTTTAAATATTTTAAGTGTAATTTCTATTACAATTCTCTTCGAACCGGTAAATGTTTAGAAACAAGAATTCTTATTTTGATTTTACATCAATCCATAAAAATAAGATTAAGGATGAAAGTAATTAAGAATTACAGTATTACCTAGTAGTATAAAGATCGGTTTATACAAGAATTGAATGGAATTTATTTATTTTACATTCTAGGACGATTCGTAGAACGAATGAAGAAAATGGTTTAAGTAAGAAATACTTTCGCATAAACAACAAGAACGGTGTTTTTCACATGAATTATTCAACTAAATAATTAACATCAAATGATCGAGAAAAGAAAAAAAAAGAACTTTTACCATTGATTTCAAATCAATACATTGTTAAAATGTTTCACATGTTTGTGTAATGAATAAATCTTAACATATACAACCATTGTTTTCAGTAAAATACATTAAACTGTGATATATGGAATTGTATGTGCGGGTAATATAATAATTCATGATCAATTTAAAGATAAGACACTTAGATTTTTTTAAACGACCACCTATCAGTAGTACAAACACGTTATTAATATATGATCCCTGAACAATTCTTGACTCATGAAAGATGAGATGTTTATGAATTTAACGAAAGATAACATTTACATTCACTGATTCTGATGTCACAACTAGCTCAAATCAACGGGGCATCTATCTTTTTAAACGGTGAGAATAAATTATCTTGTTTTACATACATTTTAACTAAATAATTATGTACGTAAACCATGTGCTTTCATATAAAAAAAAACTTGAAACCTCTTAACATACTTAGTAATTAAAAAATCCAAAAAGAAATATCACAACATTTGGTCTATTTTCATTCGTGTTTATTAATTGAGGAAGTAATAGACGTTTACTTCGAAACTTTCACATTAAATACAGTATACGATAAAAATATTTTAGAACCATAAATATTCGAAGAACTTTGCGTGTGATGATTGACAGCTAATCACTGTTAAGAATTTTTATAGAAACATATTCTTGAACATTACCAAGTTAAGTGGGTACAAAACAACAACTTATCCCTATACTGAATATTCTGTGCTGAGATTTGTATAATATAAATAAATACATGTATTGACTCAAGAGAGTATTTTACTGTTATTATCCCATGAATAATACAAGTCAAATGAACAAAATGATAAATATGTGAGATGGAAGGGTTTACTCAGATTTCTTATTGATGTCTTAAGTTGTTCCTAATTACGAAATATGACATCGAACCTGAGATTTATCTTTTGAGATCACTGAACAAAGTTCAACCCAAAATTTTCCCTCAAAAAACAAAAAAAATTAACCTTTTACGAGGGATTCAGCGACAATCTGAGAACATTCAGGTTGTAATTCCACGGCTGTATTAACATTATTAGTTCCCTGTTCATAGTCGGATGAATTATGACCTCTGGAATAAGAACTTGATATATTTGTCAGAAAGCTTTCCAAGGTTTCACGAATTGAGGTAGTCATCTTCATTCGCCTAAGTGATGAAGCACTTGATTGTTCAACAGAAGCATTAATAAGCGGAGTATGTTCATCTGAATGGACGTTCTCACTGTAGAAACTTAACTGAGGTGATGAAGTAGTATCTTCTGAATCAGAATCTTCTTCGAAAGACGAATCATCCAAAAGTGGAGCTTCAGATGTAGTGGCATATGCAGAAGCGCGTCTATATCTTGTAGAAGTTGAAATGTAGACTCTAGGACGATTGTGAACTTTCTTCTTACATATAGGACAAAAACCACGACGTTTTAAAAGCCACGGATCTACACATTTGCTGTGGTAAGCTTTAAAAAGAATAGGACGGTTTTAAAGTAAATGAACAGAAATTTCAAATGCTATTAATGCGTTAACTAGTAAACAAATATTAGTAACTTGGTAATGAATGGAAATCTGTTGACCAAATTTATAATTGACGAACAAAAAATTCATATTCACAACTTCCCTAACGACTATACAGAAACATCTAACACCATTTTCAGTGGGTAGTGATCTTTTTAATACAGGGACTATTCGTAGAAACATTTCTATCAGTAATTGAGATATCAGATGGAAGATGAGAAATCGTGTTTAGTCTAGATCTATAATAAGTCAATGGTCACGCGAAAAGCTCAGTAATAACCACTTTTATTTTAGAGCTTTGACTATTTAGATTTTATGCTTGAAGTGAGGATGAAAATACTCATTGATTAGAATACACTGACGAGTGGGAGTTTTAGGCACAACGTTTCCTGATAATCAAACATTACTACTTGCCAAAATACTGCCAACTACAACTACAGTTTTACATCGAGAAGCTTCAAAAGCGTGAAGATATTTGGAACTAGAACTTGAGATTAAAACTAAAACTTCTCGACATCTGTACAAAAAATATTGTAGACAAAAGTTTTCACGGATCATACTTTAAAAGGTACACAAGTCATGATTACAGTGAACAACGTATACTTAAACAGGAGTAAACAAAATGCCGTTATGGCTCTAAAAACTACTTAGTAATAATGTAGAGAATTATTTGTCGCGCTACGAATCAAGTCTTACAAAGCAACCGAATTTATATTACAGTGATTATACCCCGCCTGCCCCCAAATGCCCTAGTACAGCCGAGAGTGGGGAGAGTCAGCTCTCCCTCACGAAATGCTCTCACACAGCCACGCGTATACATCTGCCAAGGAAGTCTTACTCACTGCCTTCTCGTGGCAGGGGTGTTGTTTACAAAATTGGGAGGACGAAAAGCGAATGTCCGGCGCTTGAACCGGGCCGGTGGACGCGGTGAGTCCAGCTGGGGGAGTCGGGAAACCCTGATTTCAAACCAATGTCGCACATGGGCTCCAGTATCCTGAAGGAAATAATGGCATATGAACCAATTGTTGGTCACCGGATACTATGGGACTGCATCTCCTCACGACGCTCCACTGCCTTGTAGGTCAGACCCGGGGTTCGGGGTGTGGCCTCCTAAGAAAACCATCCGCTTTGGTCTGAGTACCCGAGCAGTATCACAGCCCACACACAAATAGAATGAAATGACGATATCTACTGAAAACACTATTCACGCTTCGATTAACAGTCAAACAATTCACATTATTATTATTATTATCTTTTACCACGTCACTTATTCACTCTTTTATTCCCACCTTGTGTATCCTTATTTTTCAACTTATGCAGCAGCTCGCCCATGGTAGAAACTTTGTTCTATCTAAACGATCTCGAATCACTGCCTGGTCGGAAATTGAATGTTACCACCGAATACGAATACTGAAGCAGTTTTTCTGAAACCATGTGCACCATTCAAACTAGCTGCCTTCAACATTCGCACATTAATGCAGATCGGACAAGAGATAGGGCTGGCTGTGTCTTAAGAAAATCTTAATATCGACGTTTGTTGTCCGTCCTAGACCCATATTGAAGACTCTGGTGAAGTACTACAAGATTGCTCTCTATCTGTCGCTTCAAGGGGCTTGTTTTGCGTGCGTTTATCCGGGGACCCTGTAGCAACTTCGTCTGGTCTTGCTGGCGTTGGTGTCGCACTAAGCGCTAGAGCTGAGGCAGCACTAATCGATTGGATCCACATTAACAGTCGGTTATGTGCTGTTAGATTAATAATAGATAATAAATGAAATAAGTGACCGTGTTGCTTTTGTTGAAAGTACAAAGAAAAGCTACGATAAGTATCGGTACAGAAGTACAGATAGAGGTGAGATTCTGGTTAGAGGACTAACTGAGTTGCTTTGAAAGGGTTGAGGAAGAGGTAGTGTTATAATATCGTCTCCATCCTGAAAAGGACCAAAGTAATCTGCGCAATTACTATCGGAGGATAAGTCCACTCTCAGTTAGATCCAAACTACTGGCTTCCGTCACACTCCACGACTCTGTATCAAATGATCGTTGTCTCCATAAGCTTGTTTCCACCCAGTGATAACAGGTTAGTAATACTGACCCTTGGCAATGTATGTTCAAGTGCAATGACCATAACTAAATTAATGTCACTATATTGAAACACTGAGTTTGCTAGCTTGAACATGTTTTACGAATATCACTACACAGGTTTCCAAAGTGTGCATTATATGCCGGAGCTGAGTCAGGGTTGGAAAAGTGGGGTAGACAGTTTCTAAACTGCTGCCGCGGTATGAAAGCTGCATATGACTGGCATTTTTCAAGCTACCATAGAGATGATAGAATTTAATGACTTGAGACGTGATCAGACACGGGTTAGGGTAGAAGCCACTGACGATTCTGTTGTATTTCTTATATTCCTCTTGAAAGTGAGAGGAATGCCTTTAATTGAAAGAACTTTTAGTTGCAACTTTAGTTAATTGTATTTCTTCTTTAGCCATCGTATTCCCCTTCTTTTCTTTAATTTTCTCGAGATGTCATCGCTTTATTTTTGTGACCAACATTTTTTTATACATCATAGTTGTGAAGAAGAAAAATAACATGATACATTTTATGTATTAAGAAAAGAAGCTATGAAAAGATGCAATTTTTCATGTAAATGATTATTCACTTACCATGCCCACATGGTAATACTCTCAATTTATCACCATCTTTATAATCTTCTAAACAAATTGCACAAGTTTCAAATTCATTGGAGTCTAGAAAAATTCATCATAATAAACGGGAAAGTACTGAGGCAGTAAGAAGGGTAAAAACTCAAATGTGTAAGCAACAAAATAATTACTTTTATAACTGACGGTGAATAGTAAAATAAAATCCTACATAAAGAATGTAAAAAAAGTGAATGTATGCTCTATAACGAAAAAATTCTAGTTTCACAATAGTCGTATTTGTTCGGTCTTGGATAATTTAAATGAACCGATGTGAATGAATATCAGTAGTTATGCTAATCAGTAAAATGATTACAGTACACCGAAGTTAACAGTAGGATGGTTTCATTTTTTGCTTCCCAAATTCATGTATCTATGAATATGAATAAAAGTTCCCTTATCAACAGCGCCTCAAAATCACCATCCAATGTTTGCTATGCTAAACTACTATCAAGTAAGCTACGTTGCCTATTGCACAACAAAAGCTTAACGATTTTGTACATTTTTCACTAATCAAATATTATAACAGAAGCAAGGTTGAATATTTTATATTGATTAATTCCATAACGAAAAACATTGCATTTGGTAGGTTTATTCACAAAATCTACATGTAGAAAACTAGCCTAAAATGTCAATATTTAATTAGGCGACTTCTAGTTACAAACTTTTATGCTTTTAAAAAGGAAAATTGATAAATATGTAAAAACGTATATAAAACGTTTTACGGGGAATTAACATAGAAGGTTATATAGATCTGAACTAATTACAAAATAAGTTGATAGGTGTAAAAAACCTAAGTGACTGGATAATGGTTCTGAAAGGTGGAATACTAAAAGCATGGTGAATTAATATTTCTCGAAAAACATATCTCCTGTAACACGATAAGAACTATCAACTGGCCTATTAATAAAAACATACAGTTGGAGAGATTTTATGAAAACATTAATGACGTTGTACTCCATTTTATAATTAGTGATTTCATAAACCTTCCAAAGTTTTGGAGGTTAACATTACTTAAATAAAGGTTGTACTTATTACTTATGCATTAAGAAGTTGATTAAATATTTATTTATCAATCCAGACAATTAGTAACCTCCATATTTTGTAACTGAATAATTTGCTTGAAAAAAAGACTCGAAAAATAAGTTTCGCTTAATGAAATTGCAGACTCTGAAAAGATTGAATATAAAAACAAATTTCTTGTTAGTTATGCCCAAAACTAGGGGAATGACAATCTTGTTTTAATTCAGACGTCTATCCCACTGTTTAACCCTAATGCAGCAAATATTCGTTTCTATTATTGTACGAAAAAACCCAAGATGTAGCCGACTTCTAACCGTATCACCAAGTGAATAAATAACGTAGGTGGGTTGCCTTTCGTACATACAAACATCAACAGAATAACTTACCTTTAACAAATAAAGTTTCAGGTATTTTACGTAACTCTTTTACTGGTAAGCAATAACGATATCTTCTCCGGTATCGATTCAAAAGCCGAATCCCATATCCCACACTCAATGCGACTACAGATATGAGCAGACATGTTATGAGTGGAATAAGATACAACACGATACTTCGGCGATGAGCAGGTAGTATTTCAACAAAATAACTGCAAATACATAAAAAATACGAACTGCATACTTATTGATTTAATCCACAGATAGAATAGTGAGAGAGTAAAGTGTAAACAAAATAAGTCATTATCCATTAGAATCTCGAAGCATTTAGGAAAAGTAACATATAGTTATATTGGGACTTAGTGGCTGAGTGTCAAGTGTCATACCATCAAACCGATGTTCCTTATCAGTAGAAATTTAGGTTTATTTTTCGCATGATGCTAGTATCTAATAAAATATCTAGTGGTATTCAGTAATAAATCTTGCTAACTGCTACAAACACTGTGATAGGCTAATTAATGCTTCACAGACTACTCTATCTTGCTTGGTTCAGTTGCTTCCTGATATCCGAAGTAACTGGATAGATTTGACAGCTTCTTTCAGAAGAAACTATGGTTGAGTGTTTCATCAAGAAAATTGTCGAGCTCCCGTTATATGGATCAACTGCCATAAGAAATGTTTTGCTGTAAAGAGACTCAAAAAGATCTAGCCAAATACGGCTACAGTGACTACAGTACTGATTAGGATAACAGTTGTATCTTTCACGATACAGTATGAACAATGCATGTGGTCTTGTAAAAAAGCATTCGATCGACTTATAGCTTGACGTGGTGTATTTCAGGAAATGCTTTTTGATTAAGTTGTATTTTTTGAACTGGATGGTCTATCATTGTCAGTCAACATAAGACAGGATATATATATGCACTGGTCCAAGTTGCCACACCTCATCAGCACAACAAGATGAACACCAAATTCACTAATGTAGTTACTTCAATGATAGTAAAAAAGATTGCATATAAGGGTATAATACAGGGAAAAAGAATTAATTCGTAGAAAGGTATAAAGCAATTTTTATCTCACAGTTTGAAGGAAAACAAAGAGTGTATGCACCTACACCATTGCGATCGATTTTGATCCATGTCACCCACAATCTCTAATCACTAGTTGCGATAGTCACGCGGACCCCAACCAAGTAGTCTGCATCTATCAACATGACTTAGACCAGTAGTAACTAGTCAGCATTGCGCACCGTGGTAATCGGTGGTTGCGCATGTGTTAGATCTGACCAAACCATCTCAGTCGATGAAGATTTACAAACTCATCAACTGATTACCATCAATATCTAATACATTGCATCTAACCTCACTATTGCCCAGTGATCCCAGCAGATTTGAGGAATATTTATAAGACTTCTGTGATCAAATACCAGTAACTTATGAGTATCCTCTACCCTTAATGGCCACGTTTCGAAGCCATAAAGTAAAATAGAACGAACTGCTGTGCAATATACTCGTCCTTTAATTGATAAACGGATATCTCGTTTTCACTACAGGTGACGTAAGATGGGAAATATCAAACTCAGACAATAAGAACGTTGTTTTCACCAGTATGTCTATGATGAAGTCGAACGAAAATGTAGATGGTGGACAGCAGACGGTCACCATTATTTGTTTGGTGAGCCGGAACACTAAAAACGTCCATCTAAATGTATTTCTGTTTGGTTCAAGCTATCAACTTGGGCATTAGTCACCTGCTACGAATACTATGCCTGAGTGTTTAGCTTTTTGAAGAAGTTCAGAAAGCTTTTTGTAAAACCCACCTTTTACTTCATCCTGGCTTCAGTCAGAAATTATCAAAACGCAACGACGTCTGTCCCTATCCTTCTGACTTCTTACGGAGCCGTTTATCCGAACAGCACATGGACGACTGCTAACGGAAATCCATATCGATAGTGTTGTTCTACCCTCGTCCTTAGTGCTATGCCTACACCTGTCAGTTCATGAGAACTAGCCATCGGATCGCCAGATACACGAAGGATGTACCTCGTCGGTCCTCCGTTTTGGCGAGATTAGGTCAAGTGAATGACCACACTAGGATCCTGTATGCGTGGTTTGGAGAGTGTACGTCAATCGAATGAGATTCTAGGGTCTTAGCGGAGGAGGCCTGCTGGCCTGTGAGAGGTATGAGGGCGGTTATAAATTCCTGATTGCCCATACCGTGAAAGGGTTCTTCTACAGGTACCCGAAAGTGAAATTGGGTTCGAGTTATTCTTAGTGACCTGAGAGCGTGACCGCAGTGCCCAAGGGACAACTGCTAGAGACCGGCTGCACACAACCATTTTGTGGACTATTTCCGTGTCAGTTCCGTACTTGTTGAGACCTTACCGCTGGAGACGGAAATCCGTAGGATAATGCGAGGTGTGCGTTTTTTGCACCGACCTTTTTCAACTTCACCCTTCCTTTGTGGGAAGGCAGCATCTCTATTATGATGGTTGTCCGAGAGAGACACCTCATGGCCGTCATACCTCTGTACAGCCAGCAGTACGAATTCTCCCTTAGTTTTGTTACTTTTGGTCTTGCCGCTTTTTAGCTGACCTGTCTGGCATGGTAGGGCCCTGAGGAACGATTGCTCCATCCAGTATAGCCCGACTGATTCATTACGATAGGAAAACTCTACTACACTGTCAAGGTAGCGGTAACGATTCTTTTTCAGCATCATCGTCACGAACTTTCGATAAAAGTAATCCAATAGAATTTCTTTGCAATAGACTAGCACATTGCTTTGTCGACAATAGATTTGACTCATTGCTGTCAATACCTATCACATGATTTTCCTTACACTTATCTGGAATGTGTCCTCACTGACCTGGCCACTTGTCAGTATGAAACCGTTTAGTAGTTGTAGGTAACCAAGTAGGAATGTTGGTGTACCACAGATTCATGTAATCGAACTGCATGTGAAATCCTAACTGTTACATGCTAGTACAATAAGTAATTATAAACGATTTTTCACTCCTAGGCGATTTACCTACTAAATAACTGTATTAAATACAAATTTGTAGGAAAGTTCAAAGCTACTCAAAACCTATATACTTTTGCACTACTTTTCGAGTTAAAAACAAATTTGAGGAGTATAATACCTCCCGTAAGAGTACTAACACAGAAAGTTTGATAATTTTCAGGAGACTTCTAGTCTAACCTATAAATCTAATAAGCGTTAGTGAAGTAAGTAGTAAGTAATCTGCTTTAATTAAACGAAAAAAGTCCTCCAAACCAATATTTCACATGTCAGAAATAGTCACCAAACAGATATATGAACGAGTACTAAATGGAAAGGCAAAGTAAACATCTTTAAACGGAAAAGCAAGTCGGAATGTATCAGCTTTACTCGCCTGCAAATAAAGCACCTATAAAATAGATTCAAGAAATATGAAGCTTCGAATCCATAATTAATAAACTGACATACAACTTACTGTGGCACGCAGTACTTATTTAGTAGGAGCTCGCCGTCAGACAAACCAACCATTACGACAGGAATACTGACATTTGTGGCTACCAACGAAAAGATGAGAGGTGAGAAACCTTACACGAATTGTAGCCCATTGGGAAAGTACTGTCGTCCACATCATTGAAAATAACAGTTGCAATATATCCACCTCTTTCGGCCGCTAAAGCCTTATCTACAAAAGAGCAGTCTCCACGTTTGATGAGTGAGATGTAAGGAAGAGTTGAATTGTGATCATCTTTAGGTTTGGGAATTTGGTCCACACAGCCTTCTAGTGGTTTGGATGCATAAATTCGTCCCTGCAAATGTGGAAAGAACTAAACCAAGCCAACCAGTATTAAGGACTCCTGAGAAACTGCTCCACCAAAAAGTGCTTCCGAATCCTCAAACTCGTCAACAATTCCTGATGAGAGGTCTTTCTAAAACTACTAAGTACAAAACACTGTGACATACAACCAGCAAAACTGCCAGGACATTTGCGTCCAACAAAATGTACGCAAGCAAGGAATAAATCAACGCTTTCATTACATTTGGTTTTACTGGAAATAACTCCTCCACCAAATCGAATCGTAACCCATTGAAATTATACAGTTGCGCTTATAGTAAATCAAGCGCTGATCATAAATTAAGGTTCCAATGTATTTCCGGTATTATTTATATTTATGACGAGTTATTTCAAACTAGGATTTTTTGAATGTAATTAAACATTTTTGTGTGTTCGTTGATTTTTTTTCAAGTTAATTTCACTTGCGAAATAAAGCTGTAAAAATGAGGTAATAGATAGAAATAATGGACTTAAACATTTTAAGACTATTAGAATTAGTGTTGTATCCTCGAACGTGACGTAGCGATATTTATACTAAGCATGTTTCAACGGCTAGAGAAATATTTCTGAACCCTACACATATTACTTGTCACGCTAAACACAGCCATGAATTAGTAGGCTTATGACTGAATGTTGAACAGTCCACCGAATCACACATGAGCCAAGGATGATTAAGGAGAGCAGACACTAGACGATAAACCTTAGCCTAGGCCATTGTGTAGTCACACCCAGTTGAGGCTCATATGTCAATTTCGGTTGGACATAATTGTGTCAATTTCCATCGCCACGGGGAGTCGAAGTTTGATAACACCTTTACACGTGACATCTGTATAATTGAAAAATACGGAATCAGTGAAATCATAAGTGAGGAGTGAATAGGTTCGAAGATATTTTCGGAAAGCTACCAATTTATCGAAAAGTGTTTGGTCTAATCTGGCCACCAGTTGTGAGTGATGTCACGGCGTACTCACTCGTAATCTGGTGTGGATGCGTGACCGAGCGCCTCCAGCTAGCGCCAATGTCGAATACTAACTGAACCATTTACTTCGGGAGTTTATAAACTGATACAAGTATATCATGCTTAGTCGGAAACCATGAGATAACACCATGAATTTAAATAAAGCCAGAACAAATATTGATGCAGAATAATATGAATTCATTATATTTCGTGATTTCTCGTCAGCTTCTTATAACCAAATATGTATTAGAACTTTACATTGAGGTAAGAAATTGTATGGAACAATTGACATAAGTGAATATTAAGGATTGGAATGACAGAGGTCATCAATGATATATATATATATATATATATATATATATATATATATATATGCAAGAACAGTCCAGAGGTTATCAGGTGTTAGAATCAAGGTGGTGGATTTCAGAAACAGATAAGATAAATTGTATAGTAATTCTAGAGGTAATAAAGGAAATACAAAATCCCGAATTAAAACTTCTTTCGCTAAACCTAGTAATGTCTTCAATGTAAATACTCCAGAGGTCTCTTCACCTGTTAAGACTTCAGGCTTTCGAACAGACGTGTATTGTCTGTACTATATCCACGTAAACTTATTCCTACTTTTGGACAACTGGCGATAATTCAGAAAACATGTGATTAGCGAGTCGTTTTAAAACCCTTATGCTTATTTTTTGTTTTTATTTATACTTCTGTAAGTATGTCTATTTATCGGTCATTTGACTAGTCTATCTATTACTTTTCCTTACGTTTTTAGTTTACTCTGTTTTTAAGCTGAAGAGAAGAAAAGCAGTTGATCATTAGATCTGCTAATTCCATTTACATGAACTCATATCGTCTGTTGGTTTGTCGTCTCATGTTAATGACTAAAACATGTGTCTCAAATATCTTTCATATTCTACTTTTGGTTTGGCGTTAAAATAAGTAGTTAGTTATACAATGCATCCGAAATTAAATGCAGATACTCATAATGGAAGCGAATGAAATTTCAGGGTCGACAAATGGCTGTAGATGCTTGATTTTTTAAGATTATTATTGTTCACGTTAATATGGTGTAAAACGTGTGGTCAAGCACTGAGATTTTAACACCCATAAAAGCGATGTTGTAGCAAAGTGTGATATTCACATAATTAGTTTAAGCAAACTAAAAATTAGAAGTAGAATTAGGATGTTGTTATTCCTGTCACAATTCTTGTCATTTTAGTAATCCAACATACTAAAGATGGTTGGCCTACCAGATGAATTAGTGACAAACTTCTCATAACAGATTAAGTTATTTCTTTGAAAAGTTTCTTAGTATGTGACAATTTTACTGATACTGTTGATACTGTATTGTAGAAATAAAGTTACTACTCCGAAAAATTAAGTTATATGCACAAATCGAACGATTCATTAGACATGTTTATAATTCAGGTAAAATAGGTAAGATTAAGGCATTCGGTTACTATCTTTAATTCACTGTTCGTTATTTTCATGTCAGAAAGTTGTTTTCATATTTTGGCCATTGTTTTTTTATGAGGAGTTTTATTCATTAAACTTGGTTACGTACTATTGTACGAGTGGCTATTGTTGTAGCAAAAAAAACATTTAGATTATTTCAAAGGAACGATATCTTCAGTGTTTGAACCATCAGTAGTTTGTCAGTAGCTTTCAGTAGATTGTCGTTTGTTTACATTCTAAACTATCCTAGTCATTGGAACTGGATTAGTAAGCGTAGTGATAATATTAGCACAAATGTCGAACAGGGTCATACTAGTGACCCGTTTCTCAAACATATTATAGGACTCTCTTGGATACTCGTTTTTAAGATGTCTTGACTGTTTTACTAAGTGTTGATTATTCTAAGTGACACAACTCACAGAATTTTACATTATGTCAATGAATTTTTGCGTAACATGATGATTAATTTGGAATTTGTAGTCGATCAATGAAATAAATGAATTTATGTTATTTAGCACAAACTCTCATTTCTAATCTTTTTCCAAATTAATAGAGAGAACCATGGTTCTGATTTCATGAAGTTGAGTATTTAGCAAAAGTCTCATAAACAAGCAAATCAGATTAACGGTTACAATTAGCTAAAATTAAAACTGTGATAACTTTAGTATTATTCATAGTGTCACTTATAATATCTAAGATAGTCTGGTTTCGATAATGCAATGAGAAGACGAAGATTATCACAATTATGTGATATATTTGCGCAATACATTTCGAACAATCTGATCACACACATACTTGTTAAGACAATGTCATATGAAAACAAGAAGGTCAACTAGACAGGTTAAAGGTAAACCGTAACAAAGAAAAATAAAGTACACAAAAACAATGTGATAACCACTCTGGATAATAAATCAGTATTACCAGGCTAGATTAAGGGTAAGAACTAATTGTTTTCGAACACGTAAAGTGTGTTTCAGTTTTCGCATAGCCAAGGTTTCAATAAACCTTAGTATACATCCTTGAAGGCTTTTGTACAACACTACAAATGCTGACTTGATCTCAACCTTATGACCAATCTCAACTAAATGTTTCTTAACGGAGGAAGATATCTATCCTGTGATCTTATTTGACCATTGGAACTCATTTATTTCTGCAGCTATTTTAGTATGTGTTCCACCACCCTTTCTTGCAGATCATGACTGCTCCTCCCTATGTACGTATTTCCGCACGCACATATAAATTGATAGTCTGGTTTGTTTGAAAACAATAAAATCTGTTTATAAAACAATTATTTAGTCATAGATAATCAATTAATCTCAATAATGATATCGAGTCTTAAAATAATTGGTTCACCAAAGAGCTATTTTTAATACGTTTATTTGTATACCTGTACAGACTTTATTAAATACTTCATCATCAATTTTGAAACAATTATCAAAACTATACAAAAAAAAGAATCTATCTGATAGAAATAATCAATACATCCAATCAAACCCTCTTCCTATCTCTATTCATATATTTCTCTTAGAATACAATTTCATATTCTACACTTTTAATGACCTTATTATCTACTGATCACATGAATAAAGTGATGTAAGGTAACAGTTTGCCCTCAAAATGAAGTAATCATTCTGAGTACAATGATATTTATCTTATATTATATGACCTTTTTCTCACTTATCATCTATTGTGTTCGATTGTAAATTTGGAGAATATATATACATATAAATTTGATAGAAATAATAAATATCTTATTTCGCTTGTAGCGGTAAATTTAATATTTTGAATTTTAATATTATTTGTTGATTTAACATTCGATATACAATTCATTGGAAATCATATAAACTACTGATAGATACGGAGGAAATTTTGTTTTAAACAAACTATGAACTGTATTCAGTAACAATTGTAGAATATATCGTCTACAATATTTCGGAATCGAATTTCAAGTATTTAATTATTCCATTGATTATTGAGCAAATAGTTGTAAAGTGTTTAACATTATGAATATTACTTTATTTACGCTAGTGTTTTTCAAGGTCTAGACATTTACTTCTCTGACTAAATCTACGGATTCTTATTTTGATGGGACTCATGAATGACGTAAAACATGAAACTAAGCGGTTAATCAATAAGATTGGCCCTCGATTTTACGATTTTATTTTCTTCAATTGGATTACTGACTTATAGACTGTATATTTAAATGTGAATAATTCGTGAAAAGTTGAGTTGGGCTCGCATCACACTCGGAATTACTTACCTTTTTTTTAATACTCAATAGAATAAGATCATAGGTTTGTAGTTTAAATGTTTTATGACCAGTTCTATGCTGAACAGATGGATTTATTCTTGAAAAAATAAGACTTTGTAATTTATAAAGCAAATGAATAAATCGAAAACCTGATGAAATGGTTAACATCACAGAAAAGATAATCATTATCAATATGCCATCCATCTCAATGTATTTTCTTTAAGTCATTCGGGAATTCAAGTAAATATTTCTTCTCACTTTAAGTTATTATAATGATTAAGCTATTTTAATAATGTTAAATTTAAATTGTTTGACCCATATTGGTTTTGTTTTATAGCAAGTCATGATTTGTTATGTATATCATCACTTAGTAACTGCAGGTTTTGCTAAATAACATTCAATTATTTGTGAGTAACTTTTTTTAGACCAAAATTATATTTTTCTTCATTCAAAAGCTTTTTATTTAAAACATCCAAATTTTTTTAAACAATACTATTACTAAATCTTATCTAACTGGTTGGAGAAAATAATTTTGCAGTGTGAAATGAGAACAGGTATTTATTGATATGTAAGTAAACTTTAGTGAACAGGAAGTAAAAAGTGGACTAAGATATACTTAGTACATTTGTACTCTGCATTCGGATATAATTGATACAATTGAACAAAGACAAACAAAATTGGAACCATTTTCAAAACCAACGGTCAGTTACAAATAGAACAAGCCATATGTTTGACAAACTAACTCTACGGTTATCACTTCATTTAACTAGAATTCAATGAGTACATATATAAACATAAATCCTAATCTATAACTACGTACTCATCTACTTTATAATTTATTATCAAAACATAAACAAAACGATCGAAGTTCACTATCCCCTCTAAAATAGTGAAAAAAATGTTTGACATAAGTGCAACAAAAAATCGAAAGCAATTCCAACTTGATTATCGCTGGAAAAATATTAAACAATGATGATAAGGCGATTATATTTGAACGTCATACTAAATGATTAAAAGTTTACGAAAGAGGTAAATCATTTAATATATGGTATGAAACAACAGATTTTCGATATTTTAAAGTAAAAGTCAGTCAGTACAATAGAAAACTATAAAAGTAAAAAGAAACTGAAGAAGGTTTAATAATGCGAAAATAAGCCAGCAAAACAAGGTATCTGATACAAACTTATTATCTATTCTGTGATAATTATAAAAACATACAAAAACCAGCTATAGTGTTTTTTTTATATCAATTGACGGCCTTAACTCTTTAATGAAACTGGATGTACTTTTAAAATATCTGATTTACCCTACACTTTCATTACTAAGTATATCTATATTGTGAACAGGGAAAACACTTCATTTTCACAATGCACATCAAATTCATTTTGAATATGATCATTTTACATGAACATACTTATTCAATAAAGCTTGTACTTCACGAAGTGCATAGGCAAATGAATTAATTTCAAACTAAATACATTTTATGGAAACCAGCGCATCAAAATCTCGAGATCAAAATAGAACTATATACATTTCTATGCTTAAGTGTCATAATCACTAAATACAGCTGTGAAATTATTCTTCATTTTTTCTATGGAGAAATGTCTCTAAACAATGTTATGAAATCCACTAGTCAGTGTTTGCATGTCTCATAACTTTCATTCATAAGTTATTATTTTTCTATACATCCATGCACCAAACAATGCGGTTAACAAGCTTGGTTGATTGTCTCTTATTGAATCCATTTATTGAAAGTAGTCAGTAGATAAATCAAAATTCTAGCATAAATCTATCTTCAAGAGACTTTCCATTCTACACTATATATCTAGTAGACGTTCTTTACCTTTTCACACACTATTCAGATGTATTTTTTAAATCAATATTTGGTGGGAAAAAAAGTATTTTTCAATGAAAGCTTTCATGTTAAAATGCATTCTGAGTTAGGAATGTTTCGATTAGATCTTTTTCGAAAGCCTTATTCAATAATATAAAACAGACAATTTGAAAGTGAATATAGTCAATATTAATTATTCATCAGCAATTAATTTTATAAGATTACTCAACCCAACTCACTAAATCATTTGGTTATTAGGTTCTTCGATTTACATTAATTGGTTATTTTTAGAATCTTAATTAATGAACAGCCGATGCGAAACTGATTGTCATGAATATTGTAAAGAAATCAGCATTTTGTCTGTTGACAAATTTTAAGAAATATATTTGTTAAGAAGAACTTATCTAAAAAACGTGGGGCTATTCCAAATTATTTTATTCTAGTCGATCATAATTGTTGCTAAATATGATCATTTGAAATTTTCCGTTAAAATCTATAAATCGGTGTATGATTGGTTGAGTTGATGAAACACTAATGTTCTCATGATGAAATGATAGGAAAGATTTTATAATTTGGGTAGATGATTTCCGTTGTATTTGATTCTTCGAGCTTGATTATTAATTTACGAAGCATTCGTTGTCATTCTGGGCAATATCATCAGCGCTTGATTCAAGTAAAAACGAGCTTTTTAATAACTCTACAAACGTCAATTGAGTCCACTCTAACAATATTGCTTCTGTTATTGTTCGTGAACTTATGTTTATGGTAAAGTAAAAATTTTTAATGATAATTATTAACATAGATGTGGATTCTAAATTACCTTACATTTCATTCCAGAAATTATATAAACAAAAATGTCAACGAATATACAACCTCAGGTTGACATAATACCAACAATACCTAACATGGTTATCATAAATACTATAAATCATCTTGTTGATAGAATCAAAATTCTATCAGAGCAAGTACATACATGTATGAAAATTAGTGATCAATTCATAAACCATTCATTTAAATCAATAAACATAAATGGTACCCATGCAAAATATGTCCATAATCGAAGCGTTCTGTATATTATCAAAAAACTTTTACGCCTGAAACAATCAAACCAAAATGTAATCAAATCATTGCATCGTTATCAATGCTATATGGAAAAATTAATTTTTGATATACAACAAGAAACTGCAAGAAGTAATCAAACGGAAATTACAAGAATTAAATCAAGAAGGTCCAAAGTAATTCTGTTGTTTACTTTATCTCTATAACAATCACTTTGTTTATTTTTTGAACTTCATAATTAGAATGTTGATACTGTTCAACAAGTTGTAGAAGCCGAGTATCAACTGTTAAAAAGTCTTAAATGTTCTCTGGAATCGAAATTGCATCTACTATTTGATACAGTTGAAGTATTTTAAAATATTAATGCAGCCATCATATTTTATTGCTCAATAATTTATTAGAATGTAAAGTGTGTTCAATGTAAACTTGATCAATGGATAACTGAGCATGAGCAAAATATAGAACATTCCAAGAAGTGTGACGAAATTCTTGCAGAATTAACAACAGTAGGATGAAATGCATCATAAAGAATATTTAATTATTATTTCATACTTTGTTGCTTTTTAGATAGATGGTCAAGTTGAAGTACTAAATGAAAGTTATTCAACATCGCTGAATTTAGAAAACATTTCAAAAATTATAGATTCCACTTTATCTCATGTTAATACATTGCAATTAGATTTAACCATTATGTTTGAAAAAATTCAACAGGTTATAAATGGTACAAGAAATTCAGTTTTTTATGCTTTAACTGAAGAATGTACATTTCTTACGAAACAACTGGTAAGTATATAACTGGACATGGTAAGTGAAAATAGACAATTTCCACCATTTAAATAAAGATCTTATCTATGACTGATCAATAGTTTATTGAACTACTAAGGATTTATTCAACAATTGATTTGAACACTTATAATGTAACAAAGTAGAATTGTCTTTAAAAAGAAATGTAATATTGTTTCTGGTAATACCCGATATACTCAATATTCGATATAAAAAAACGTTTCCATAAATCACCTGATGATTAGTAACAAACAATTTCGTAACCAAGCTGGAAACTTTGTTTGATAACGGATCTAACCGTCAGCCAATCTATCGACCACACACAACTATAAACTAATTAATTAACTAATAACTGCTAAAATCCTTTTATCATAGTGCATACTTCTAATTAGTACCTCTTGTTTTTATTTAAGCACCGACTATTTCTTTCAAGTTTAAAACACAAGATGGCTAATAATAGAAATTTAAAAATGATGAATCAGATCATGAGTAAAACACCAAACAAGGTAATTTTTATTGCTTTCATTATCTATAATACTGTCGTTTAAGAATACCTTGTTTTATTCTTAATCTTGTTATTCAGTACAAATATTATAAAATAAGAAAGATTAGTTCAGCGAAGATTTCTCTTTTTGATTGAATTCATTTTCAAATCTGTTCAATAGCAAATATATGCTCGTTTTCAAACTGATAGTAATCACATTGATAGTGGTAATGAAATTTTCGCTAAAAATGGTAAAGTAAAATAAAGGTATAAGAACATTATTTTCATACTGTAAATGATATCAACTTTATGAGTGACAGCTTAAATATTCATCATGAAGATAGTTGAACAATTATAGTTAAAGAGTGAAGGCTTGGTGTGATAAGATAAAATTTTGTAACGGAGATGAAATGTAATCGGTAAGATTATAGAAACAGAAACATATCAGTTTGGGATAAAAGGAATAAAGTGAAGAATGTAATGGTGAAGCAGATGGTTGTGAAGGAAAAGAAGAGGAGAAAAATTACGAGAGTTGAAGACCATAATAGAGGAAAGGGTTGTACAAGTTCTATTTCACACAATTTTTTTATTTTCCCAAATGTATGACTCAAGCTTCAAGAATGAAAGATGGAAGCCAACTGTCTTTGGTAGCTTTCCGCTTACCTTGTCGATGACTTTCAACGCACAGTCCATTCTCATCAAATGACTTGTGCTCACAAGATGATCGATTACAGGGCTTGTTATCGAGCAGTCTTCGTTTCTTTTCAGTCACACTGGGTACTGTTCTTGAATTCTTTTGGATGAAATGCACATTGAACGAACCATGTAACTGGCCCCACACGAATAAATAAAATGATAAACGCTTAGGAAATTGGTCAAACGAGAGAGATTATCCTTAAATTATTATTCAGTATTGATCGGCTGGAGAACACTAATCCCAAAGTTGCTGCAAAAAACGTTCTACTGATCGAGTCGAAAATTTTTCTCTTCAGGATATCTGTAGCAGTATCACTTTTTTCAGTTATTGTAGTTTATAATAAGGTCTTGTTGAATGCATTCTCCATAATATGATGTACAGCAAGAGAAAAATATATGTAATTAGTTTCTTGCTATAGGAAAATCTTTCATATATGTTCTCACATCAAACCTGATGAAGTAAGTATTTGTACACCACTCATTAATTTCTAAGAACTTCCGTAAATTTTATAATTTATCCAAACTGCATAGAAGATGAACCTGCAAATCGTGAAATTCATATTAATTTAATTTGAATTACTCAAATTACGTAAGTAGAAATAGTAGGTTACCTTTCTTGAGATATATATATATATATATTTTTTTTGAAATCTTTTTGTGGGATTTGATTGAACTTTATTATCTTTCTTAATTATGTTAATTATATTGTGATTCAAAAATGCATTCAATCCAAACAGTACATTGTCAACTACTGAAGAAACGTAAAAAGAAATGTCCAATTATTCTTGACCTTATGAAAGTTCTTCGTACAGTCAATCCATTACTTACTTACTCCTGTTACTCCTCGTGAAGGAGCAGAGTCCGCTCACCAGCATTCGCCATCCAACCATGTCCCAAACAATCCTTTCCAGCTCCTTCCAGTTGTTACTCATCCTTTCCATGTCTGCTTTTATTTCCCGACGTAATGTGTTCTTTGGTCTTCCTCTTTTCTGCCTTCCTTCAGGATTCCAAGTTAGGGCTTGTCTCGTGATGCAGTTTGACGATTTGCGTAATGTATGTCCTACCCATTTCCATCGTCTTTTCCTAATTTCCTCTTCAGCTGGAAGCTGGTTTGTTCTTTCCCACAAAAGGCTGTTGCTGATTGTATTCGGCCAATGGATGTTGAGTATCTTGAATAAACAATTGTTTATAAATACTTGTACCTCTTTGATCATGGTTGTAGTACTTCTCCAAGTTTCAGCTCCATACAGTAAAGCGCCTTGACGTTCGTATTGAAGGTTCTGACTTTGATATTGGCTGACAGTTGTTTTGAGTTCCATATGTTCCTCAATTGTATGAATGCGGCTTTTTCGCCGGCGACGATACCACGTTGAAAGCACTGGTTCTCGTCCGATCACCACAGTTAAGCAACGTTGGGCCCGGTCAGTACTTGCATGGGGGGCCCTCGCTTTGCCAGTCCTTGCTTCTACGTCTGCATTTGATCCTTCTTGTTCATCGATGAGGCTCCCCAGGTATGTGAAGGATTCTACATCTTCCAGAGTTTCAACATCAAGAGTGAATGGATTGCTGTTCTCCGTGTTGTATTTGAGGGCCTTGGTTTTCCTCTTGTATATGTTGAGGCCTACTGATGCAGAGACTGCTGCTACACTGGCTGTCTTTATCTGCATTTGTTCATGTGTATGCGATAGGAGGGCTAGGTCATCTGCGAAGTCCAAATCGTCTAATTGATTCTGAGCTGTCCATTGTATTCCGTGTTTTCCCTCAGATGTCGAGGTCTTCATAATTCTGTCAACCACAAGAAGAAAGAGGAAGGGAGAGAGTAGACAGCCTTGTCTGACTCCGGTCGTTACTTGGAATGCATCTACCAGCTGTCCTCCATGCACGACCTTGCACTGTAGTTGGTTGTGTGAGTTCCGAATAATGTTGAAAATCTTCTCAGGAACTCCGTAGTGTCGAAGTAGTTTCCATAATGTCCTGCTATCTACACTGTCGAATGCCTTTTCATAATCAATGAAGTTGATGTATAGTGACGAGTTCCACTCAACTGATTGTTCGACGATGATCCGTAGTGTTGCAATTTGGTCTGTGCACGACCGATCCTTACGGCAATTCATAGCTTCGCTATATTTTTTAATTCTAACTATCAACGGAATCGCGACCAACTATTTCAGCCTAACTGGAATCTGTTAGTTGAATACAATTGCATCTCAATGTTGATGTTCGCAATACGTCTTCAACTCACTACCATCACTTTAAGCTACAAATAGATCTTCAATAAAATACTGAGTTTATACAGCCACCAATTCCTTTAACGGATATAGTAATTACTATTTTATAGGGTCTATGTTTTCCCATTGTTGATATTTAGAGACCAATTTGACCGATTTTCGACTCGTGACAACTCAAAAATGTACCATATTCATTTCCGAAACCATTTTTTAACATTTTTAACTTTGTATAACTTACTCTTGTGAAAATCATAAACTGATTCTTCCTAGTGTTATGTCACATCAATATTTCTGTGAATAAAACTATAACAGCAACTAATCGAACATAAACTGGGAAATCTTTGTTGCCATGCATATCTTACGAGTTTAAATGATTCCTGTTATCGAAACTCTAGAAATTATAATAATTTTATTTGACTGTACTAACGGTTTCCGATCTCCCGTTTCCTAGATTTTAACGCTGATTGAATCCTATCCAGCAGTTTGCAACTCAATATTATGCGGAGTATGCTTTATGTATTATGTAGCTGGAAATTATCAGTTGACTATAATTATCGTATTATTTTCCATCTAATTATTTGATAGACTAATTTAGTGATAAGTTTACAAAAACTTCTTTTATTTATATTTTTCTCTTTTGTTCTTCAGTCAAATAAGAAATTATTGCAAAAATTATTAGAAAATAACGAAGAAATTCAGACTGTTAGAAGTGAACTAACTATACAATATAATCGAATTAATCAATATTTGCAAGCTGATCTCAACACAATGAGAACTCGACACAGATATCAAGGTCAACAGTTACTTCATTTAAATAATTTACCACTGAAACCAATAATTACTAAAATTAATCTTGAACCACATAGGCTATGAAGCATGTGTGATGCCACAATGTCAACTACGAACTTGACCAATAAACGAATGATCCATTTAAATCACAACATAAAAAGAAAACTATAGATATTTTTTCTTGCTTCTGTAAGCTATATCAGCGATAATGTGTTGAAATACAAAGAAATGCTTTGAAAAATCAACCGAAAACTTATTTTCTTACATGGAATGACAATGCAGTTACTTGACTTACTATATACATTTTACACTGACGTACACTGTGAATACACGATGAAACAACATGAATTTGATTAATAGATACACTGAGACAACCAGCGTCTATTTTGAGAAAAGTACTACAAATTCTCTCTCCATCTGTCGCTTCAAAATGCTTGTTTCACGTGCGCTTATCCGATGACCCTGTAGCAACTTCGTCTGGTCTTGCTGGCGTTGGTGTCGCACTAAGCGCTAAAGCCGAGGCAGCACTAATCGATTGGATCCCCATTAACAGTCGGTCATGTGCTGTTAGATTAGAAAGTTCCATCAAAGTGAGAAGAAATCGGCATGAGAAACGATGTCTTTTCGTCATCTCCGCCTATGCCACGACAGATTGCAGCCCGGATGCAATCAAGGATGAATTCTGCCAACAGTTGACCGTTCTTTTCCAGAAAGTGCGTTCGACAGATATTGTAGTACTAGCCGGAGACTTGAATGCCCACGTCGAGTGTCTAGGAACAAAAGAGAATCTTTTAGGTGGCCGGTGGGGAATTGTTGGTCGCAGGTCAGATAACGGGGACCGTCTACTGCAACTGTGCACAGACCACAACCTGTTTTCTGTCTAGCACTAACTTCCGGCACAGTCATCGCCGATGTGCCACCTGGCGTCCTCCCTCTGCATCCCAAGCCTGGACTCAGATTGATCACATCGCGATCAGCTACCACTGGCGTGGTTGTGTACAGGACTGCCGATCCTTTTGGAGTACCTATATGGAATCTGACTATGCCTTGATCTGCGCCAATCTTACCTTACTTTTCAGTGGCCAACGAATCGATCGCCCAATCTCACCATTCCTCTTCAACTTTGCCATCGATGACATTCTGGAAACAGCTCTGACGGATGTAAGTAATGGTGGTGTGGATCTGTTATGTATGAAACTCGGGATAAGCGATAGTGTTTGCAATAGACCACTTATTCAGACGCCAATGGTTCACATGTTTACGTTCAGTTAATTTATGATGCATCAAAACTATAATTCTATGTTACTGATGATACCTTCATCAGTTCCAAAAATGCCTCACTTGATAACTCATCATAAACTTCGATACTAGTGAATTGACAGTCAGTGACTAGTTGATTGATTGTAGTGACAATAGTAATTTTGATATTGATTGTTGTTAGTGAATAAATTTAGATAACCAGTAAATACATGTGAAATAAATTCACCTCACGAACTAGCAGAAAAGCTAACTATATTACAAATGATACATACATACATATATTTACTATTCCAACTAAACGTTTCATGTGATCCAGATAGTAGAAAATAATCATATTTTTTAACAATAAATCCCAACTTACGAAAAATGTTCATAGCAGATCACGCTCACTAAATTAATCTATTTATCAGAATATAACTATTCAAATAATATCAGGGAAGAGGATTACGGACGTGTAGTAAAATCTGAAGTCTGAACTATGGAAAAAATTGCGCAAACTCACAAATTTACTTTCTTTTTGAGAATATACTATACTCAAATAAATTAATGTAATGCTGAATAAAATATCACACTAGAAAACAAACAATGATCAGGTCGAAATTGTTTAATAGCAATGGGGTTTACAAAGGGGGAGTAAAATCCGCGTTTGTTGAATGTTGATTATTTTAAATGCCTTAATGATACCTATGTTATATTACTTAGAATAATCACGATGCTGAACTAAAAAACAGAAGTGATGTTGAACAAAAATCACGATTAGTAAAAGAATGTAATTTTGTCTTTTTATCCAGTCATATCAACTATCTTTCGAGGCTTCTTTTATAAAGATGGCATTTTACAAGTATAAATGTTCATACATACTAGTTACTGCAAATGAGAATGTTTAATAATTAAAGAGCTGACTTATTTTTTAAATATTGAAGTTTAACATGTCAGGGATTTTACAAGCAAAACAATTAAAAATTTGAATAGTATGACTATAAGTTAGATTTGTTTCGTTCGTTTGATATCGCTACTGCATGTTTTTATCCAGTAACGCACTTCAAATACATAAATCATATTACCTGTTCATAGCCTAGTAAGAGATCACATATCTGAATATTTGTATGCTGTTGATTTGCAATGTTTTCAGAAATCCGAAAATGAACGTCTGCATTTTAAAGTGTTACTAGATAAATCCAGTTGTAATAGATACTTACAGTTATCCTAACAAAAGAATGAAGATTATCATGGTGCGATTAATTTTTTCGATGATAAACAAACTTATTCAAGTCTTTTGTCAAATTCACTTTCGGAAATATGATCATGGATGATGGATTTTTCTGAGTTGTTACACATCGATTCATATCATTCGTCTATTCGCGTTTATTGTTGAGTTGAATTCATATGGACAAATGTGTAAATAATATTTAACAATTATTATATACACTCAAGAATTAAATCTATAAAATTCTACTGATTAATCTGTTTATGTGTAATGAACATGAATATTACATTTTACTGAAAGGTCTGAACATAACAATATCTTAGATATCTAAATACGAGTGGGACACTGATGTCCAAGATCTGGACCATGTAGTTGACCAGACTAAAGAGACGGCGGTATCCCTCTATGATTAAAGTGAACTTCACTGTAGTTTGTTACCTAATCTTCAGTTTGTACGGTCTTTAAATACCTCATATGATTCAGATTTTGAATTTCTAAACTATTTTTCTTCTTAAAACTGTTCTGAACTATCAAAATACCCATTAAATTAATGTAGCTAGAACAGCTAGGTAGTAGCATTTGTGATTGCAACACTAGGTGATGTGTGTTCAAATATTATTGGAAGCAATCAACCTCCCAAAAATATACATAAGCAATTAAATTTTTCCAACTCTCGGCAGTACCGCTTCATCTATTTTTTAAATCCTTTCAATCAACCATTTCATGTCATAAAATTAGCGAAGTTAGTACTTAGTAGGTGACTGAAAAAGTAAGTAAACGTCCAAGCGTAGTTTATGACAGTCATAACAGTAATGTTATTTTTGTGTAAAGATGGCACAAAACGCCACTTGACTGCTTATATGTTTTATAAGTATTCAAACATATGAGTCATTGAATACTAATCAGTGTTGGCCTATTTGATATTCAGGATTAACCAGACTTTGTCAACCAATTTGACTAACTTAACAATATAACACATTGAAATTTTCAATTATTCAAATCCAAGCTTTCTTTCAAATATAAATATCATCTAATTGTATCCATCAACAAGTATGTAAACGAGATACGTAGCCAACAAAAGATCTCTTCTGCATAACCACTTAGTCAATAGTAAACTTAGGTTTTGAGATTTATTACTTGAAGTTCTAGCCCGAATCAGTGCTACATGAATTAAGCTAAATTTGAAATGATCTGATCATATTAGATGAGGACAGTTCTATAGTATCAATAGACTAATGTTAAAAACTTGAACAATGAAATAACACCTCGATGAACTGTACATATTACTTTAGTCGCAAAACCTAAACATATTAATATCCACCTCGTATTCAATAATGAATTTATCATAATATAAAGTCACGAAATATAATAAAACACATATTCACTTGTTCTTGGCTTTCTGAAACAGAAAATTGTAAAAGATAGAATACTAAGTTTCTTAGAGAATCGAAATAAGTTGTGAACAGTAAAATGTTACACTGAATAGACAAATAGATTTTGTTTTCCATACAGATAACTTTGAATAAATAACAAAAGTTTAGATTCATTTGTGGCTTTGCTTTAAACAAGTTAACGAATTTTATCTCTTTTTAGTAACAGTTCAATATTGAAGTTTCAATATTGTTTTAAAAAGATAATTTGATTTATAGTTTGACCTTCAGTCTGTACAATCCAATCATTTTAAACTAACAAAAATATCCAGATCAATGTTATAAATGCATCAATTTCAAATGAATTCTCCACTATAAACTTTTGGTCGTGGTTTTAAATAATTTTGTCTTTTTTTAAATTACTATATAAACATTTATGTTACTACTAATTGTTAATTAGTTTAATAGTCAGACAATTTAAATAAGAAATTATTTATTTATTTGTTTACTTTATAAGTTTCTTTTCAAAAGAAAGGTTATCTATATAAACAATAGGAAACAAAGAATCTAGAAGAGACAATCGATGTACAGGCACTTGAAAAAGAGCAAGAGAAAAACGAGAGACAACATAAAATAAAATAGATAAACCTTGTACGGAGAAAAAACGAAACATTTAAAAGGTGAGTAATTAGGACAAAACAAAGAAGTTGCTTCTATCAATGAAAAGTAAACAAAACAAAATATATTCTTCTGGACGAAATCAGGTCATATATATTGATTATATGGTTGTACTAATAAACTATTTGTAAGTAATATCTATCATCTAAGGTTTTAAAATATAAATCAATATAATAATAGTAATGACCACATTATAAACAGTAGTAGTACAATATAAGATAAATTAATATTTAGAACACTTAAAAAATAAAGTAATGAAATTAGGTGAATATGTTGGGGGTAATGATCTAATGAAAAGAATTGAATTATTTCACACCGAATTTTTGAAGTCCATGATTAACTTTCTCGAAAATTTCTTCTACTGTACCAGAAGCATCAATCTATGTGATTGGAAAAAAATTGAGCATAGAATTCATTATTATAAAATTATTTTACTCAAAAAACATTCATCAAAAGATACCATGAATGAATCTGTTGTATTTAAAGGATCCATTTCTTCGGAAATCTAGGAAAGATACTACTGTAACAATAGAAAGCGGAGTCAATAAACATATTAAGGGATTTTTGATAAAAGAACTAAGTGATAATTCAAATTACAGTAATCTATTGGCAAAAAATCATGATTGCGTTTTGTGTATGGTCTCTCTAAAGTAAACAAATCTAACGTCTCGTCAAGATCTATAAGATCTATAATAAACTCACTACTTCATAAATTAGCTCGATTATTAGCTAAATTACCAAAACAAACTCGGCTGAGACTATATTTTATGGACGACCATTGAGTGACGCTAAATTGACTGAGAATTTCCATCTATTAACTAAGACTAAATGAGGATTATGAAGTAGTGCAAGGAATTAGAATCATGATTTACAGTTGTTAGTTAGGGTTAGGAACTAGATTTACGTTTTTCATCACGAACTAACATTAGTTAAACTGCTGAAACGCTGTTTAGCCAAATGGATGAATGAATTTCGCACTAAAATCCAAAACCTGTTCTCTTATATCTGATCGGTTCGTCCATAAATTATAGTTTCGCCATTTGATCATCATTTATTTAGGGTATAAGTCTCAAAATGTTGCGCAATCGATTACTATAATGTTACTATTTGTGCGTTATTTGTTGAACTATTGACTAAAGCTCAAAATTCTAACAACCACATTTTCAGTTTTTTTTAATATGATTAACCTTTCACTCTTCTGTTTTATCTCTTTGTTACCACATTCAATGACTTTTTGTTATGATTAACAAACAATAGATTATCATTGCGAAAAAATAGTATGTACTTACTATTGTAATGCTTTTAGAAAACCTGACTCATGCTGAATAAACAGATCGATGTACAATCTATTTCAGGTGAGCAAAACGTATGATTTACATAACGAAGTAAAATATTTAAGTCAACTGAAACCATATTAACAACTGTGAAAAATTTCTAAGGCAAAACATCGATTGAAATTTCTACAAGTATTGCACTACTAAACTATTCATCCCTGATTGACTTTGTACTGTGTCATTTGTATCTGCCATTCACTAAAGTCCCATTTTCAAAATGTAGACGGAGAGCCTTCCTTTTACTCTTTAAAATAATAGAAATAAATATTTGCTTGTTTGGTACTTATCATTGGCTTGGTTGACTAAATTAACTATTAGTTTTGTACATATGCTTCAAAAAATGTATTCTAAGACTTACTATGAATGTATCTCTTTAATTTTCAGCACAACAATGTTATGGGTTTGGTAATTACTGTTGTGTAGATTTTCGAGAAAATAATTTGTACCACTAACCAGTCGAAAAATTCTCAGTTATCAGTGGATGATATAAAATCTAGGTGGCACTCTGAGTTAAGCCAAAAACCCTTCAGACTATTATTGGAACTTTGTAATAGTTTCGCTACAGAATCACATGTTATTTCCATCTAAAATAACTAGATAAACGTATAACTATTTTATTCAAAAACTTACTGTAGTAATGATTAAATTATCAAAGAGCTGTATGTTGAAATATATTTGTTAAATCTTTAGTAGTGATTCATTCTTATGTAGATATAATGTAATAGGAACAAAAATACTTTAATGGGAGAAACAATATTCATAAACACAATTATCATGCAAGATCGATCATTTCTACAAACTTACAGTGATTACTTTATTTTCTTTCTTATAGTGTTCAATAACAGGTTTTGTTAATTCATTGAAAGTGCGAAAACGTTTCACAATTGTCTCTTCATTATCATCAACACGATTACTAGTCTCCGCTCTTTTCAATAGTCTTTTACGCATCACCTCTTCACTCACATCGAAATTAATCACACACAAACAAGGACATACCTTAAAAATGTAAATAAATCAAATATTACTGATTAGTTACCAGTTATTGACAAGACAATACTTTTATGTTATCCAATTAGATAGACAAACTGAATACAAAAAGTATCACTTGCCATTTAATGGCCAGCAATGGGATCGATGTAGAACTACACGAGGATCAAAAAAGTATATCGTTTAATTGTTTCACTCTTTGTAGCATAATAACATAGATAATAAGTAGTCGAAAACAATGATATTTAGTAAGAAGATGCAATTTTCGATACGTCATGATTCTAAACAACAGACATCACAACTAACCTCCATTCAACATATTCCTTAAACGAAAAAATCTAACTTATACGAAATTATAAATATAATGTCAAATAAATAAAATCTTCACAAACATTTGGTAATCTAGTTTTATCTATTACTCGTGAGTGTTTATCCGTACATCAATAGCATTTTTAGCGTTAGTTTATGTCAAAACCAGAAACCAAACACTTGTTGTCTATGTAAATTAATTTGATCAGTGGTAGACATTAAATGAAAACAATAAAAGGCAGTAATCAATAAGTTGATTATGAATTTTTGCATATGCACTGCTGAGGAGTCCCACAATAGGACGAAACGGCCTTCCAGTGCTTCCAGGTATCCCATGGTGGTCTAGCTTTAATTGACTCATGATCTTAACTATTGAAATCACTACAATCTCCACAAAACCCCTTTTGAATTTGTGTATATTTTGTTTCTTGGAAAAAATAACCAAATTATACAATATTTTATCTTATAAAGTGAACACATTAAATTATAAGAAGTCCATGGTTGGATTATTTAACATAAAACAATCTTTAGGTGTTAACTCAAAATGATTCAAAAATTAAATGGTAATAATGATAAACATTAACCATACAAAAACATTCAAGCAAATATTAATGTCTGTTTTTATTTACCACTAGGAATTAGTTAACAATTAAATGACTTCACATAAATAATGGACATAGTTAATTTTAACTGTTTTTCTAAAATGAATTGTAAAAAGAAAAGAAAACTAGTGATTCCGATTTATCTATAAATTTATCATATAAACTTGTTTTAATCAGTTTTCTGTTTATAGTTGCATGTTATTCTTTATTAGGATTACATTAAAACATCTATGTATCATTACTGAAATATGAAAATGTTTTCTAGTTGACTAAAATAGATGATACATTGTAAAAACGATTTCAAATTATTAGTTCATATATAGGATTCCATATGATTACTTACATTCAATTTATCATTCTATTTTTAGTTCATTGAATGATTAGATGCTATATCGCACGCTAACTAAGCTTAATTCAGATTCATTAAATTATAGTTAAAAGATGTCAATCTATACTGTTGCAGAATGGGTACTAGTAAAAACGAATTAACTATCAATTATGTTTAGAATTTCACAAATTTTTAAACTTATTTTCACGTTGGATATATTTTTCTAGATTATCACCATGGTTTTTATCATGTACATGATTAAGTAACCATTTTATTTTTCTAAAGAAAAGTAAATTATTGTTGAAAACGTATAAAACCTTGTTTGATTTAAAAAAAACGTGCAATCATTAAAAAAAGATAATTCCAATCTTCAGTCTAATGACCACATTCTAACACAGGCTTATTCTTATTTAATATTGTATAAAACTCAATTATCATGTGAATGTTAAGTGTGCCATTTTGTAATTAGTTTCGTTAATTATTAGCGTTTTCACAACACTCTTCTTATACATGCATGCTTGTCTGGATGTTGTTTGTACATATACTTATTCATTCGCTACTGGAATTGTGTCTATGCCCATTAAATGATTTGTGACTCTTCTTATTCATCGTATTCTCTCTTTATATTACTGGCTTGGTCTGGCATGTGCCACCCCAATTCATATCATTTTCAGACCTACGTTTCAGCACATAGGCAAATACCGTGGCTGCATTCTGGTCAAACTAAACGACAGTCATGAAAAATAATTACGTAGCATTCAAATTCGTAGCAATCACCAAGACAAACTATTGAAGTCAGACTCACAGAACAAGGTTTAGACAAAAAGGTTTCCATTTAATCGGGGTAATATAGCAACTCTCCTACAAACAATGTCGATTATGGTTAAATTATGTTAACCCCTTCTATCAACTTAACAAACAATATTATTCGAACAGCAACAATTCGCATGTTTCTTTGTACTATTATGGTCTGGATAAACGTGTACGCTCGATCACATAACAGTCAATGTACATATCTCTCTCTAGTTTAAATACCGCTCGATGAGTTATTCTCTTTCACATGTATATATGTACTCGAATCCTGTTATTAGTCTTTGTTTCGCATAGCTGCGCCATATTCGATTTGACTATAAATTGGCCTATCTGCTTCAAATTCTCTCGATGTGCTTGTAGTTTTGTTATCCGTGTTATTCGCTAATAAGCTGTAGTTGCCGCATCTTATTGCCTTCTGGTTTCAAACACCGTAAGATTTATATAATAACGGTTATCAAGGTGATTGATTAACGAAGCTAAGCAACTACAGTAATATCAAACAATATATTTACAAAAGAAACCGACACATATTTACGGTCAATAAACACTATGTTTTGTACAGCTTATTTAATAAGTAGTCATAGTAATGAAGTAAAAATACATTTCCATGTTAATTTTAATCAGTTCATTATTTAAGTCATTAATCTAGTTTATGAAAATACTGCATAAATCTAACATAGTTTCTGGATAAACTCTACTGAAATGAAAGGCAAGTCAGAATGATTGACAAAATAAATATTGATTAATGTAAAAAAGGAGTGATCATAACAACTGAAATGATTTCGACTTTTATTGATGAATCGATTTGTTTTATTGATAAAACCCAATAAAATAATTAAGTTAAGATTATGTGAATAAACTGACTTGAAAATGTAAACTTTACACGATTATTTTACGAACTGTAAGTTCAAATTGAGATGTTGAAAATTTGGACGAATTTATTTCTACTAAGTTGGTGATAATTTGGATTGTCTCCTGCTGTACTATCTGAAAACGGGTGTTGTTTTATTTTAAATCACTCACAAAAACTGATTTATTCAAATGGTTGAGAGATCATGAAGCTAGACCACCATGGAAAAACTGGAAGCACTGGACGGCCGTTTCTTCCTATTGTGGGACTCCTCGTGATTTAAACCATTAAAATTACAATAATATCCACAAAACCCCTTCTGATACTGATTTATCCAACTATGATTATCAATAACGCTATAGTTGAGATCTTTACAACAAAACATATACGTTGAACGAACTAATCAGCATATTTACTCAGAAGAGTAGTGGATCATGCTCCGTCCTTTAAAGCTATGAATACTATATTTCAGGTCTTAGTGTGGACATTGACACCGATGAAGGTTAATACACAAGACGAATCCTAACCAGGATGTGACTGCTCTTTTTATCAAATGTTAATAACTCATATTGCTAAAAATGACTCACCTTTTAGCTTAGTAATTAAAAATTAGCAATATAAGCATACATTTACATGTAGAAATTATTTAAAATGTAACTTTTAAAATTCAAGTTGTGACAAATTTGTCAAATTGATTAATAAATCGCAAATGAAAATGTAATATTCACTGTTTACCTCGTTTTCAAATTTAATGCCTTGATCCAGTTCACGTGGATATCCATCGATAAGGAAATGACAATTTTTGTCAACCAGTTTAATCATTGCTTCTTTAAGTAAAGCTAAAACAACTTCCTATGTAAAACACGCAAAGATAAAACTCAATGATTAACTAATAACATGGGAACAACAATGTTAACAACAACTTTTCGCATAACATTATAAAAAGTGCTAAGAAAATATCACGTTTAGGTAGGTTGGATATCATTATTCTTAAGACGATTAGTTCTACTCCATTGCTATTCATTTTGTTAGTTTCAACTCACCGTATTGATGCTGTACGGGAACTTGAACTGATGGATATTTTTTGTGCTGAGCTCTACATTGATTTTGACTGGTGAATGACATTTAAAGCAAATACGTAGGTGGTTTATCGGTTACAAGTTTATTTAATGACTATGAGCTACTTTGTTGATTAAGGTCATAGATTTCACTCATATTATCATACTTATGTAGATGGAGCCTTGTAAGTATTTCACATTGTGAGTGAATGCTAAGTATCTTCACAACTGAGCCTACATCTTATGTCGTTTTTACTCCATGTTTGCTTTGAATTCATATGAATTAACATCACAATAAAGAAGTTATGACTGATCTATACATTCTACTACTATCCTCCAGTGGAGACGAGAGTAGGCTAAACAAATCAAGTTTATATTACACAAATTATTTGTTATAGCAAGAATTACTTTTTCGAAAACAATTGACAGAATAAAATAATAGGATTTCGGGACAATACTGTGATGAGTGCTAGAAATTTCCTCATCCATTAGAACAAGTGAATTTTTTTAACGAGATAAAACCTTATGTATATTAACATTTACTCAAAATGAGGCAGGCATTTACAAATATCATTTTGAAATTATCGAAACATACTAGGTATTATTCAATTGTCAGCATTATTACTATTGTTATAATTATTTATTCTCTCGTGTTTGCAGTTCACCAGTCTAAGTTAAGCGTCTGATAATTATCGAAGCTAGTATTTTAGATACTATATTAGTTAAGCTAATCCCTCTATGGTTGTCACAGGATTATTTTGACCCTCTCTTATATATTGGGACGATAAGTGATTGTCACCTGTCAGATGGAATAACGTCGAACTCCCAGATCTTAGCTAAAATATTAGTCAATCTAATCGCTAAAATTGAACCACCATCCTTAAAGACTTCTGGAGCCAATCCATCTGGACCAGCTGCCCTTCCTCGTTTCAGATTAACTATAGCCTTTTGAACTTCTGCTAGAATTGGGGGACCTAATTCAATGTTTTATTCACACTGTCTGGGAATGGAGGGTAGTTGTAGAGTAGCTGAACTGTTCTCTGAAATGTTCCGCCCATCGTTCTAAACGTCTGGACTGGGAGCAGATGAGAGTATCGTCTTTTTCCGATATAATCTCACTTACACTTGACTTAGTAATTCCAGTTTCTTTTATTAGTCTGTAGAGCTGTCTTGTGTTCCCTATAGTCGCCGCCTTTTTCATCTCTTTTGCTTTCGTTGCCCACCACTGCTCACGGTCGTTCCCTAGACTTTTTCTTAACCTAGATCTGATTTGTTGTCGCTCTTCATCATGTTCGGAACCTAATGGGACGAGTTTGTGAGAATCCATCAGTGTGATAGACTTTGAAGAAATCCACTGGTTCTTTGTAACTCTGTGGTTTAAGTCACTAATAGATTTCATTGCTGTTTCCACAGCTGTTTGTATATCTTTCCAAGCAACATCTGGGTCAACCTCGTTTTCAGAACTACTTAAGTGTAACCTCAGTTGTTCATAGAACCTACTTTTGGTTTTCTCGCTACTCAATTCAGTTCTAATGGGTCTTTTTACTGTGGCTTTTTTGCGTCCAGTGAGGCGCAAGCAGATGCGTGCCCGTATTAGGGCATGGTCAGAGTCCAAGCAGGTACTTCAGAATGAGCGAAAATCTACCGACCTTCTCTAACGATGACTGATGACAATATGGTCTATTTGAGTCCATCGTTGGTTTGGTGCAGGCGGTCGCCATGTTAGACGATGTCTCTCCTTATGCTTAAAATTTGTGTTTGCTAAAAATAAACGAGTGTCTGAGCATAGTTGCAGCAGACGATCACCATTATCTGTTCGTTGTGCCAGAATACTAAAATACCCACCTAAATGCCTTTCTGTTTGGTTTAAACTACCTATCTGGGCATTAAAGGCACCTGCTACGAGTACTATGTCTGAACGTTTAGCTTTCTGAAGAAGTTCAGATAGCTTTCTGTAAAATTCATCTTTCACTTCATCTGAGCTGCAGTCGGTGGGAGCGTAGGCAGAAACGACAAAAAGGCAACGACGTGTGTTGTGAGATTAATAATCATTATTAATCATTACATTGTAGTTTATCAACGACTATAAGCATCGAATTCCAGATGGATTGTCGAGCGCATATCTATTTATAATACAAAACATTACAAAGTTCTAATTAAATGGTTTCCTGAATCTTTCTCTACAGATAACTAAAGTACATAGTTTTCCAAGCATCTGACTTTTAAGAACTGAGTGATTGGTTTATTCTAAGCTAAATACTGTCTGACGTTATGAAATGATCTTTTTTAGCCGGTTAACTGTCTTTTATTGTCAAAAACCTAATGAAGTATTCATTAATTTCAAGTTATTTAGTCTGATCACCACTTTGAGAACGTGATAGATTTAATTTAGTCAGAATAATTTGCAACAAAACGTTGGTAAATAAATATGAATATATCTTATGCAGTAATTTAAAACATTCTCATTTTCCATAGTCTATAAAATTACAACAATAAAATTTAATATCCACATCAAGAAGTCTTCTGAGCTAAATGTATCGAACAACGAAGATAAACGGATCTACATTACGAAAAGTATTTATGCCTCACTATTAGAGAGGAGTATCTTGAGTATTTCTTGAGTTTTGATAGTAGACATCATCATTAAATTAATTACGCTTGACTCCATTATGGCTAAATCCATACATAAAATAAACACTTCATCTGCCACACTTACGATATCAGCTGTATTCAGTTTATGTGATGCGACAAACCGTATTTTGTATTGGCTTGTTAGTTGATTTACTTGTGTACATTCATGGAGTAGAACTAGGTTTACTGAAATCTTGCTTCTACTTTTTTTTCAAAATCTTACCGAACTTCAATGTTGTCTAGGTATTTAAACACTTTAGTGTTATTAAAAATCAATATTGATTGGTGAGTATAGTATACCACAAAGTATTAATAAATAATTAAGTATTGGCAACTATACGACATGTCTGAGTCATTTAAAACAAATTAATTAATTAATTATTGTATGGTTAAAGTCACGGTGAACTGTATAAAATGTTGTTCGGTCACAACAAATAACTGTCTGTTTAGAATAACATATAGCGAAAATGAAGAGGTAGATGAACATCCTTCCTTAGTGAATAAACACTAACATAAACATTTTTGTTGAGATTATATATACATTTTGAAGCTAGTTTTTGTCTGGAGTCGAGGTTAATTGCTGAACCATTATAAACTAAGAAACACCGAATAGATGCACTGACAAATTTTAAGACCAATTAGCGGATTGAATTTATGAAGGTCACCAATTGAATCCTGAACCTCAAAGTTTGGCATGGAAGATGGTACTTTTAAACCACTAAATTGATGTATATTTTCATATATTTTGAAATCAACTTTAGAGAGCTTCATAATTAGATCATGCAACTTAAAGAAACCAACTTATTTAAAACTCGAAACTAATCTTCACTCAAATTCATTGTTGAAAGCCGTTTCAATCCCAAATTGGTCAATTTAGAAAGTCATGGATGTATTACAAAACTAATGGGACTGGAAACGTGAACCAATATATCTTGGTTTAGTAGCTTGAAGATATTGAGTTGTTAGTAAAACCACGATATTAAGCGTTCTATTCAATTTGGAATCATCAAAAACAAATAATTGTCTGACTGATGAAACCTTATTCTGAAAAACAGCTTGCGTTGTCCCAACAAATAACTCGTTATTAAATGTGATTACAAACTGCTTTAATATATACAGGTTATGATCATCTGACCGAAAAGTTTTGGGATGTAACATTTGCAGTGTCCAAATAAATAGGATACTGACCTGAAATACTCGTGCTTGAATAATCACATGAATTTTTAACTTATGTCATCATATGTGAACAATATTTTCTTTGTACTATTTGAACTTGTGTCAACTTAATTATTTATTCACCCTGAAGAAGTGGCTTACATTAAGTCAAAAATACAATTTTTTGACTCGATGGGATATTACAAAAATTATTATTAATATTTGGTAAACTTTATAACTTACCAAAGGAACAAGTTCACCTCTCTCCATCATAGCTTTTAACTCTTTACCTTTTGGTGAACCGGATTGAACTTCAGCTCGTAAAAGATCACCACTAGATAAGTGATTGAAATGAAATTTCTGGACTAATTTTTCACACTGTGTACCCTTACCACTTCCTGGTCCACCTTTTTGCAAGTAATTGAAAAAGTTGAAAGACACAGAACTATAATCACAAACTTATATCAAGTGGGCGAGATTAATTAACATTTGGGAAATTGAAAATTACAGGAGTTACGTAACCATTCCTGTAATTATATAAATAGGAGACGGTTTATCGATAGAACTACTGATAAGTTTCATGGAATTTAACTTAATTTGCAAGTGGTTTTCATCTCAGAACCTCGTCAATCATAAGTCATGCCAAGGAGTACCACACTGGGACTAAACAGCCGTCTACTGCTATCCGGTTTTTAATGGAACCCCAATTGATGGCAGACAGTGGTGAATGAAACCTAATTCTTCAATATTTTAATCATTTGAACAAATAGCCGACTTATTTTCCAAAAACATTTTAGATCGATTTTTTTAATAATAAAAGAATCGACTCATCAGTAATCAAAATGCTTCATTTAGTCAGATGCGAGTAGTTAAAATTAATGATTAACACAAATAATTTAGCATTCAGACTTGTATGTGATTTACAGACTACATATATCTTTTTTCATATTCCTTACATACATGTGAAAAGAGATTTTAATCGGCTCCACTTTTGGGAACGAAATACGTAATTTGGTCAAGTGAAAATGAAAAAGTATTTACTGTTGACTCAAGCTAGAGACTGACATTTCACTAGTATAAATACGTGAATTATAAATGGATGAAGGATATGTGACTAGTTACCTAATCTCTTGCTGCTATAAATAGTTTCGGCATAAAGTGAGTTATCATGCCTCACCGATCTTGTGAATTAATAAAGTTAAAAGTGGGCATAAGACATAACAACATATAATAAAGTAGTCCAGAAAATACAGAACTGTAGCCGGAAGTAACTGTAACGATACGACATAAATTTCGGAGTTTAAATTGACAATAAGTTTAAAAGCCTTGAAAATATCTTCTCCTAGCGCATTTTTAACTAAAAGTATAGTTATTTTTATAAGTAGAAGTTATTGTGACTGAAAAGTGCATCTAAGTTGCTATATAATTAAGATGAGTAACTGGAGGAATAGTGTGAGGATAACCAGGCTTTCCCAATATCAACAACGGGATAATTCAAACCATTTCAACTTGAATTAAATCTCATATCCGCTGCACAAGTGAATGGCTATCTGAACTTAGTAGCTAAATGAATAACGCGATGACGTTTGAAGTGGACGGTATTGGATCCAGTCCAGGAATGAGCACCAACTCTTAGATGCACGTACATCTAGCTGACAAGCTGCGCATAAGACAAAAGTGCGTGTCCTTGATTCCAATGCTAAACACAAGTCATCCATTCCATATCAACTTGTATCCTCATGGCTATATGGAGGCAATCTGCACAGAATGGCCATATACCAATCAAGACTAATTGAATTCCAATAAAAAATATCGACATAATAATCTAAACCATGTTAAATTTAATTAAATCGTGATCAAATGTTTAATCAAATTGCAATATATAGCGTTTTCAAGTATTTTACCTTCTTATTTATTGTGCCAGCGCTCGAGAAGTGTAATTTATACTACGGACTTTATTATAATTACCTAAAGCTATCTACATAGTTTGTACTTAAAGTATGAATAAATTAATGACAGTAAACGCCGAAGAATTGAGTGATTTCCTTTAAACAGTTTAACTCTACTAGAATACTATTTGATACTTCAGAGCAAACTGAGACAATGTTCAAGTTGTCAAAGCATCTAGGTTTTAAAAAGAGAGCCATTGGTTTTGAATTCTTTTCACACTACTCTGGCTCGAACGGCCAATTGGTTTCATCAGCCCTTACAAAATCAGGACCACTAAGCTAGAACCGAACGATGTTAATGTTTAACTTTAATCAAATCACAATATTTCACGACCATTTTTAATTGCATGAGGTAGTTGTCTCACATCCTATATGATTGAACTGCACTGAACAAAGCTCACTATGTGGGCTCAAGGGTGTAAAGATGGGGCGTTAGCACGTGACCACGATCACCCGTGGGGAGGTAGTCGATCCGCAATGCCGATGGGTCACGTATTAGGATGAGACAGCCATTTAATGCTTTTCAGTCTTCAATGGTGATCTAGCTAAGATCAATTAGTCATTTTGATACTGCCAATTTAGTAACCACCACATAATCTTGTGATGATTATTCGTAAAAATGTTTACAAATCCGAAAACTAACCGCTTTTCAAGTGAAGTGTTTCTTAGGGATTCTAATTCAGTTTAGTTTTTATGGCGAAGTGATATATTTTGGAAGGTTACTGTACAGTACCGGACCACCGAATCGAGAACCAGCTATTTAAAAGAATCGTGTTCACCACAAATTCCATCCTATGTGGAGTCATAGGTCTGCGCAGCTGAAAAGCCCAACCCCCCACTGAGTTTTAATGGTTAACCGTCTTGCGTCTTTCTGATATACAAAATAATCATCAAGTGTTGAAAGTTAGTACCGGAATGTCAAACGTAACAACACTTAATACATTTGTTTGAGTCAGTTAATTACTGGATTAGTGCTTAGATTTAATATTTTTATTTATGATATACAAACTAACTGAACATACTTAGTACGGACCATTTATTGGTGTAATCACATCATTATACTAATTGTAATCTACGATTTGTACATTCATATGTATTTGTTTCGTCTTATTTTAAATATAAGGAGAATTTCATGACGGTGTGTTTGTTGAAGAATAGAAATTTACTATATCATTGAAAAAGCTCTATTAAATATTCCCTAAAATGCTACATAAACAAAAAAACCAATAATGTTGAAACAGATTAAATTGATGAACCCTTATAAAGCAACTAAAACGTGTATTGAATATAACTAACCTATTTTAACACTTCTAATAACTACATCAATCGATTAATTAACAAAGATTGATAAGATAAAAAACATATTGTAAGTTCACTAATCTTATACAGTAAACGAGCTATCTATCACTTTTTGAAACTCACATAACCCTGTAGAATCCATCACATAAAGTAATAATAAAGTATATGACACCAGAGCTATGGTTGAGCATTTCCGCTAAATTCTTCTTTCTATGAAAATAAGTATATGTGATGCCACTGTGGTCAAAACTCAAAGAAACTGACTATACTCAGTGAGTGAATAATCGTGAAGTACTGAAATCACTATGAAGAATATAAACTTGGAAGTCATTTTCTAAGTGAAAAAATAGTTTTTCTATTAGTTCATTACAAATTACTTCAGAATACTTGGAATTTGAAAATTTAGAAATTGGTGAGACTACAATTTATGGACGACCTTTGAGCGATGCTAAAATGGCCTTGAGAATGTTCAACTACTGACTAGGCTAAATGAGGGTTTTAAACTTATGTGAAGGATAAGGATTATGATTTAGTTGATGGTTAAGGATAAGGATTAGATATAGGGTTTTCATCACGAACCGACATCAGATAAATTATCAAGATGCTATTTAGCAAAATGAATAAAGAATTTCGCGCAGAAACCCACGACCTGTTTTCTTAAATCCGATCGGTTAATCCATAAATTATAGTTTCACTGTAGATACATAATTAAAGTAATAATAATAAAAGAAAAATCTCGTGGTTGTTTCTTCTTACCTAATACAAATACCACTTTTGCTTTTGCTAACTTCTGATCAGTCATCGTTTGTGTACTCTTAAGAATTCCGTTTAATAAAGAATGAGAGCGTACACTCCACCGTGAATCCAATAGCGTACAATAATTTGATTCGTGAAGGTCTATGAAATTCTATTTTATTTTGGTTAATTAATAAACGAATATGTTTGTCTATCAGATTGTATTTCATATTCTCTTTGTGATTGGAAGAAATGGAAAAAGACATTCAATTGTATGTTCAGCCCTCTATTTGATTGGTCCATTATCAGAATTTAGTTAGGACGCAAATGAACGAGATCCAATCTTCTCTGAAACTATTATCCATTAAATTTGTGCGTTACATGATTTATTCTTTATGATTTTAAGTCATTGATGTATCTTATGAATAGGATGAATCCTAAAGAGGATTTATTAATCAAAAGATCTCTGATTAGCCTTTAGTCGTTTAAACGAATTATTACAAATAACAAGGGCTTTACGAATCAGACTGATCTAGTCATCCTTCTTTTCACTACTAACAAACGATAAACTGTTAGCAGAAAACAGGACTTACTTGACCGGAATAAACAGATCAACTGTTTTGATTTATTTTGTAGTAAAGACTAATTCACCAGACATTTCTCATAAGTAGAAATATTTTAGGGCATATTATAAATCAAAATAATTTAATTATATTAAATTCAATTTTTTTCTGTTGAGAGTTCTCTTTATTTACTGATGATGACAGGTTTTATTATTTTAGTGGCCCGTGAATCTGACTCCATTTAGATCGTACGAATGTTTGTTATCACCTATCCTCGTATACAATTATCGACTTCAATCGCGTTAGTCAATAACGGATTTAGATAAGTCAAATAACGAGAATGGACTTTCGAATACATATATTTTGTATATGAAGCGAATAGAGAGAAGAGAAACGACACAGAGTGGAGATGGCCGGTAAACCAACTCCCATTTAGCCAAGTGTTAATTAATATTTAGTTACACAAAAGTAAGTTACAGACATGTGATGAGTAATGGGATAAGAAATGTATACACACCTACGCTCATATAAAAACAGTCAAGACTGATAAGCGAATAATTCACAAGGTCAAAATATGACTCAAGTAGAATGAATATAATGAGCTGTCCGAAAGTTAGAATAAAGTATATGGGCTTAACATAATAACTGACACTACAGTATCATGGATTATAATTCTTTATTTCATGATGATCGTCAAGATATTGACCAGTACACAAACAAGACCTAAATATATAATTATTCATTGTAGCAGGAAATATTTATTTTCAGAGAGGGGTTTTGTGGATATTATAGTAATTTAATAATTGAATTCATGAGTCAGTTGAAGCCAGACTACCATGGAAAACCTGAAAGCATTGAACGGCCGTTTCGTCCTAGAGTGGGACTTCTCAGGAGTGCCCATCGACGGCCATTCAGTGCTCATGACTCATGAATTCAACTATTAAAGTATTTATATGTTCAAGTAGAATTTTATCATTTCGTGATCATGTGTTTATCTTTACTTTACAGAAATATAATGCGATCTTGAATTTATTCATTGAAGTAGTGTTGAATTGATTGGACTTTACTGAAATATTACATATTTATAGTCATAACCATGAATTGCAACAGTAGTAGGTTTTTTTTAAAACTCTTTCAGGCCATATTTCAACAATTAAATTTGTATAATTATAATGCCAGTATGAGTGCATGATTCGATCAGCAAATAAGCATTATGCTTTTTTTTTCTAAAATTAAGACAATATTGATGACAAATAGAATGAACGAAACGACCGTCCAGTGCTTCCAGGTTTTCCATGGTGGTCTAGCTTCAACTGACTCATGATTTCAATCTGTGGAAATAGAATAAACGTTATATGAAACCTTATATTTAGAAATAAAATGGAACCAGTTTTCAAAAAGAAATCTCGGGATTTTGTCACAATATTTGTTTGAACTTTCATGTAGAATAAAAGTCAATGAAATTTACCAGACCACATTACTTTTAAAATGGATCGTATTGTAATCACATCATAATACTAAGCAAGACTTAGTGCTGATTGTTTATTCTGAAATCACTAGTTTTACATTAAGTGAAATATTGCTTTAGGTATGTTTTTGACTTACTGATACCTACACTTATGCCATCAAAATGACAAGGGAAATAGTTTCTACGAACAAAGTATTTCTTCTATAATTTAGTGACAAATAGAAGGATAGTTTTCTTCACTGACCTAGTTTACCTCATCTTTACGTCTCATAGTTAAGTGAATGGATTTCAACGATTTGATAACACCTTGACGTTCACATTCATCAAGTTATACTTTACTTCTGTTGTATATTTGAATGCTACAAATCTTTTAATGATTAAACTAGAAAATACTTTCAGTCAATATTTTTAAACAGTGTCAGCTTACAAAATAACTGCTGAACATGTAACAGATAAGCAGAAGTTGATATGAATATTTAAGGAAGACTTCAAAATTCTGTCTAATTGAACTAATTTTTTACTTAAAGTAACCCATTGTGTCATTGAATAAAAATAAAGGGAATTCAGTGGAGAAAATTTTCTTTTCGACGAAATCATTTACTTAAACTGTACATTTGTATTTATAGTTATGTGGAAAATATATGTCTATAGAAGGATGGAAAAGATTGCATCATAAATTGATTCGAGACTCTTATTATCAGATGAAGTTACGTAATAATCAAGAGGTAAGAGAAGGCTGGAAATAATTTACGGGTCTGAATTATGAGATAATTGTCCAATTAACAGATATGAAGAAAACCGACAAACATAAAGGTCATAATAATAAAAACCGAATAATAATCATGAAAACGCGTTCAAAGGTAATAATAAACATTAATTCAACAAATCAATAATAATAATAATGAATGTGCAGATTACATTGGCCACATAAAACGATCATCTTCTAAAAGCATCTCAGAACGCTACCCAGCATGGCTTTTAAAAGGAGAATGCAAAACAATTACTAGTTCAAAACAGAAGCATTTAATCAACTATTGACACATCGCTCCAAAGGAGTCTTTTAAAATAATCTACACAGTCAAAGGAATTGGATCGTATGGAAATCGAATCAAAATCTTATGCACTACTAAGGCATTGGCAAACCACCAACTCAAGCCCGAACTTTGCGTGCAAAAACGATACGTCCAACCTCTCATCCTCACTTGACCCTTTGTAGTATGTTTCGACACTTTCTAAATTATTATTATTGATTTGTTACATTAGTGTTTTGTAATTTTAAACTGTAATCAGTTATTATTACCTTTAAACACGTTTTCATGATTATTATTCGGTTTTTATTATTATGACCTTTATGTTTGTCGGTTTTCTTCATATCTGTTAATTGGACAATTATCTCATAATTCAGACCCGTAAATTATTTCCAGCCTTCTCTTACCTCTTGATTATTACGTAACTTCATCTGATAATAAGAGTCTCGAATCAATTTATGATGCAATCTTTTCCATCCTTCTATAGACATATATTTTCCACATAACTATAAATACAAATGTACAGTTTAAGTAAATGATTTCGTCGAAAAGAAAATTTTCTCCACTGAATTCCCTTTATTTTTTTTACTACCAATAGTTTGCACAACAACATCAAATCACTAGCTATCACATCATATCATTTTTGTTGTTTATCTGAAGCAGATGATTAAACTAAAATCTATGATGACCTCTTGTGTACTAAACCCTATGATGAACAACCACGATGAAAAACTGAACGGAGGTTGTTTCCGATTTTTGGATTAGAGGGTTGGACACTACAAATTACTGCAATAAATTTATAACAATGCTTAGCTGCCTCTTTATTGTCATTTTACAACGTAGTTTTAACGTTACGGTCTGGTAATTTTAGGCTTGATTACGATATATCGTCATCTTATAAGGTGACAGTTAGACAACCATTGAAGGCCAGGATCCCCTACACATTTAATTGAGTTTAGATTGAGGCTTGTTAGCAAAGTACACGAACAATATATCATTGAGTTGAACCCAAGATCTTCAAACCACTGCATCGGGATCTAATAGTCTGTCTTTTTAAATATAATCCGTTATTGGGCTAACGTTATGTGCACCTTTTAATTTTCATATAAAAATGTCTTAATAAGCATATGTGTGATTTTTATTTGTGTGATCAGACTGTTCGAAATGTATTGCGCAAATATATCACATAATTCTGATAAACTTCATCTTCTTATTGCATTATCGAAATTGATCAAAGGGATTAATTGTTATAAATATCAATATCAACAAAAATACCTTCATAGTGACCATATTATTTATTCAACCTTTAAACACCTTTACAGTAGATGATAAATACAACTATAAAGTTAATATGCATTGGGATAACCTAAATTTTTCACACCTCAAGAAATTTAACATTATCAAAAGATTTAATAAAAACAAGCACTTTAATTTTATTTGAATACTATATGAAAGAACGATCAAAACAAACTGAAAATGCGATAGTACATATATTGATTTCCTAAACATCAGAACCAGTGTAATAGACAGTTGACACTAAATTACTTTGTATGCCCTAACTGTGAATCGATACACTTACATGTTAGGTAAGCTGACTAAATGATATCACCTGAATACAAATTATTTGACTATGTACAGACATGTAAAGCATCCTACTTTTCAAAACAATAAAACATCTTAACAACTTTTCCGTTTATAAAAGTAGTTGTTTTTTGTTAACACTAAGTGAATATTTTCTGAAAATATTTTACAGTAAACAGCACTCAAATATTTTATGCACTCGGACAGTTAGTCTTCATAAATCTTTACCCTCTCCTGTAGTTACAAAACTATTCATTTGTTTTATATCCCATTGATCGGAACCGATAAAAAGATTTAAAAGAAAATTCCTTCAAAATAATAACTTGTCAATAATCACAAAGTTTGCTTATTGTGATCCTAATTCTAAGAAATTGGACTGAATATTTTGAAATGTAATTGTCAGTACTTATTGGTGTCAGTTGGAGAGCCATTGAAAGCCAGGATCCCCTACACAGTTACTTGAGTTCAGATTGAGGCTTGTTAGCAAAGTACACGAACAATATATCATTGAGTT